ATGGTGCTGATGGTGATGATGGTGCTGATGATGCTGATGATGCTGATGGTGCTGATGGTGCTGATGATGCTGATGGTGCTGATGGTGCTGATGATGCTGATGGTGCTGATGGTGCTGATGATGCTGATGGTGCTGATGATGCTGATGGTGCTGATGGTGCTGATGGTGCTGATGGTGCTGATGGTGCTGATGATGCTGATGGTGCTGATGGTGCTGATGATGCTGATGGTGCTGATGATGCTGATGGTGCTGATGGTGCTGATGGTGCTGATGGTACTGATGGTGCTGATGGTGCGCGTCGTGAGTGGAGTGAGCGGGAATCGAACTCGGGTGGCCGGGTTCGTGGCGCAGCGCGCTAACCACTACACCACCGCTCCCCAAACCCCCCACACCCCGCCCCTCCCCCCACCCTCCCCCACACACCCCGCCCCTCCCCCCGCCCCTCTCCCCACCCCACCACACCCCGCCCCTCCCCCACACACCCCGCCCCTCCCCCCGCCCCTCTCCCCACCCCACCACACCCCGCCCCTCCCCCACACACCCCGCCCCTCCCCAATCCCCGCCATTCGCCACTAAGTGGCGGTGACGTCACCACAGCGCCTGTGCCAGGCCAGGTGCACTTTGAGGCCACCACGTGATGTGTCGAAGTTTCGCCGACAGGAGGTCACGGGACAGACCCAGCAGGTGCCATGGGTCGAGTGACTGAGACCTGTTGTACCCCCCCCCCCCCACTGTGCTAACTTGCTGCACTTTATCAGCCGGGCGCTCCACTCGTTGTTGTGAGCGTCGCTCCTCTACCCCCCCACCACACCCCTCCCCCCAGATACCCCGCCCCTCCCCCACCCCGCCCCCCTGTGACGTCACGCCGCTGGTCTCGCGAGAACTCGCGGCGCCATTCAAACTCTTCGCCGCCATCGTCGCTCGCGCCGGGCCGAGCGAAGTCGACGGGGTCCCCCCTCACCGCGGCAATCGGCACCCACCGCAACCGACACGACGACGACGACGACGACAACAACCACCAAACAAGACATCGCTTTGAAGAGAGAAAGTCTCAGCCATGTCTACCGACGCGGTGACGGAGCTGGCCGCCTCGCTCGCCAAGGCCAAAGTGGAGGCGGCGCTCGTGAGCTTCAAGGGAGAGTGCCTCAAGCTCAACACGGCCGAGGACGGTGAGGCAGGCAGGCTGTGAGGGAGGCAAGCTGTGAGGGAGGCAGGCTGTGAGGGAGGCAAGCTGTGAGGCAGGCAGGCTGTGAGGGAGGCAAGCTGTGAGGCAGGCGGGCTGTGAGGGAGGCAAGCTGTGAGGCAGGCAGGCGGGCAGGCAGGCGGGCAGGGAGGGAGGGGAAGGCCGCCGTTAAGAGTCGCGCGGCGGCGGCGGCTTGCTCGTGAGCGACGGCCGTCGAGCCTCTCTCGCCTCGCGTGCAGTGCGGCGCTCCGTTTCAGAACGAAACAAACTAAACAAAGTCCCGTAGCTTGGCAAGCAGCGGGCAGCCGCGTCCCCTTCCCCCTCAGCCATTCAAGTTGCCGGGAGGAGGGGGGCGGACGAGGGGTAAAGGGGGAGGGGCGGGTGGTCGGGGTCACGTGACGAGGGAACCGGCGTCTTCCGGAAGACGTCTTCCGTGTTTGGAAGATGGCGGTGGTGCTTGGGAGGGCGGCCGCAGAGAGCGGGAAAAAAACGCGGAGCGGGGGGGGGCATCTTCCGGAAGATTCTACCGGTGGCGGTTGTTGCTAAGATACCGCAACGCCGCGGTTGCCGGGCAACGGGGCCGAACGGGCAGCAACATGCAACGCTGTTCCAATATGTAATCGATAAAGCTTCAAATCTAGAATCAATAAAGAGTTTATATCTTGCCATAAGCGAGGCTATTTGAAGTGCATTGCGCGGTGGGGGGGGGGGGGGGGTAGTGGGAGGGGGATTATTAAACGTTTAGTTTATTTAGTAAATTCTTAAACATTTATAATATTATTTTTATTTTATTACAACGTTGTGTGTATGTACAGTGTATCGATGTTGAACTTTAGAGTTCATGGGAGATCGTAAACCATGGCAGTAGCGATAGCAGAGTGATGAGGAGGCGCCTGACTGCCGATGAGCGAGTGACCGGAGTGAATTGCCGATGGGTTCTCGTCCAACCTGATTGCTTTACTTAGAGTTCTATCGGCTGAGAGTTCCACCAGATACATGAGAGGAGTATTCCAACTTCATAAACAATAACGAGTCTTTATTCCGGATGGCTGGCGATACGGGTTGGAGGAGGTGTTGCTGCTTTATAGCGGGGCATGTTTTATACGTTTTTTCGGTAAAGTCACGTAGGTAAAAATAAATAATAATTAAACAATAATCTAAATAATAATCACGACGTTTCGGAGGCAACACAAGTCTCCGTCATCAGGTGGGACCGTCATAGCTACATTTACTGTAACGGTCCCACCTGATGACGGAGACTTGTGTTGCCTCCGAAACGTGATTTATAATTTGTATTTCTATTATTTATTTTATTTATTTTTACCTACGTGACTTTACCGAAAAAACCAAAGCGTATGAATCCTTGCAGTCACGAAAGCTTCAAATCTAGAATGTTTAGAAGGTTTCTGCTGCTGCTGATGCCACCAATAAACCGGCGGTCGCCTCTCCCGCGCCTGAGCACGTGGTGGAGGAGGAAGCGTGGGGATTCTTAGGTTTCAATGCGTGTTGTTGGCTCGGATGCTGAACGAAGCCCAAACAAAATCGTGTTTAAAATACACGGGGACGTATGGTCACACGTCCACGAGTGCTTTTCACAGAAAGCTGATCATTATTAAAATCAAGTTGTGTTTTTATGCCCATGTGAGAGATTGGTGGGGGGGGGGGCTATGCTTGACTGCTGTGCACAACCGTGAACCACCAAGTAAAATGCCATATTCCCGTGGCAGGGAAGTTGATGCATAAGGCAGTCATTCTCTAATATCATTAGCCGTGGCCTATCCACTGCTGGATGAGGGACTCTCCAAGCTGCCACCATCCCTCACGATCGATCCTGCATGTAACACGCCGCGTACAACCTGCCCACGAGACGATGTTGTTGCGCCATCTCCTCGGTAAATGTCCCTTCGGAATTCGTTACATTCCGTGGCTGCCGCTCCATTATTCTTGGCCATCGTGTACCATCATCCCTTCTAGCGACCTGCCCAAGCTGCCCTCTTCATAAGAGTTTATCATCCACCTGCACATCTTCTCCAATCCATCTGCTATTCTCGCAGTCGAATTCCACGTACGCAGTGCTGGTTTGCGTGTTTTTTGAGTGCGGTTGTTAGCATGCCGGATGGTCTCGCATTGTATATGAACGTACTGCCTGCGAAAGGACTTACCTTGTTTGGAAAGTGGCCAAGGCGTAGCTTGCCCTGGCCTTGGACCACGGTGGGAGGATAAAGACACAGAGGACAAAGACCTATGGCTTGGCAGTTGATCCAACATTATAGCAATATAGAGCGATGCAAGCGCTTATTATTAATTCAGATTACTTCAGGTGCATGGACTGATCAATGCCTTGGTCACATAATGTGTTGTGTAGAAACGATTCAAAGTCACCCCGCGTATGTTATTTATAAAGGGAACTGTTCTCTGCGGCCATCGATTATCATTCAAAAACTTGTCACTTTCTCTGCGCTAAAAATGCATTTGTCAATGGAAAGTGATGAACAGTAATTCGCCTGCTTCTATCGTGTTACCGTGCTGTGGTTTAACCCTCGCTCTCGGAGAATGGAATAATAAAATATCAATTTTGCACATTTGGTATTCGAGCCAAACTTATAGCGGATGTATGTATGCTGAACTTCTTTCGCACCGTACATAGCCAACCTTGATAATTAATCGGAGGATGGCTGTCAAGAAGGTGCTGTGTTTCACAGACAGAGCCTGCAGTAGAGGGGCAATTTGGCTATGCGAATGACAATTGTGTGATACGGTAATACCTGGTATTGTTTCGAATTTGCACAATGATGCCGGCGATGTCACAGAAGATGTTATCGTGCAATGTGAAGCCGATGACGTGGAGCGTTTTTACGGTGACGATACCTGCAGCAGACATCAGGGAAGAGGCCTGTCGGATTCAAACCGCGAACCTCTGCAACGAGCGGCTGACGCGCTACCGGTGGGCTCTGTCACCGCAGAGATGTGTTGGTGCGAGAGGAATTCGCTGTTTTTCTTATTGTTCTGTGCAGACTCCAGCATCCGTTGAAACCGTAAATATGTAGTACTCTTGAAAATCCGTTCACAATGCTCATCATTTTGTACACGGTACAATTCCCATCCTTTTAAGAATTGAACCTCACATGCAGGACCTCTGGCATTATATCACCAGGCTTCGTGACCTGAACGCCTGATTAAAAATATGTTTTTAAACTAATGGGTGAATTTCTTGTGCAATATGTTCCAGTGCAATACGGGCACAATTACTGCATGTAGCAAGCAACTAATTTCAGGAACAACTTGAAACAGAAAGCTGCCTTGTGGGAGTACCCAGAGAGTCTCTGCCAGTACCTCGCCACTTTGTCCCACATGTTTTAGTTTCAGTTGATAAACGGCTCGGCGCTAATTTTAATTAATCGGGCCAGTATAAGATTTCACCCTCTTCTAAATGTCTTAAATATAATTGCATCACCCCATAAAGCCACGCTTGGGGAAGGCCAAGTGCTGTGCTCCAGCCCATGAGTTGCCCCACATGGTCAGTCTGAAAGGCAAGCTCTCTGAGTGTATTGCACGAACAGGGTTACCACGTGGAAGACCGTGGGTGGGGGGGAGGTAGCGACAGAGCCTCCTTATTCGGGGCATAGGCGGTCGTTATGGCCAGGTGGCCACTATGTAAAGCTTCTCTTTAACAAGGTTTCCTCCATCTCGGGATGCAAGAGAGGGCGCGGGCGTGTGCGGGGATGGCGATAACAGTTGGCGGCCGTTAAAATGAAATACCGCATCCAGTGGAAGCCAACTTCTAATGAGGCTCTCACCGCTGGCGGGCTCTCGGTAGCGTCAATCAACTTCTAATTGTAACGGCTTGCCGAGCAGCCCCGGAAAATCAAACCCATTAGTTAGGTTTTTTCACCCTATTAATATTCCGCGTGTAAGGCACGCGCCGCTTGAAACGAGCATAAATAAAGGCGGATGCTCTAGGCACATCGGATCGCGGCTCGTAAATTTGCCGAGTGCTGACCCGTTGGCCATTATCTTTGCACTCTCCGCACGCCTTCCACAAACATCTCTTGTACGTTATTTACGACATTACCCCCGAGCAGTACAGGGGCCGCAAAGCTCTCATATTTCAGATCTCACGAGCACCGGTGTCGCACGCTTTGGCTGGGGAATGCATGCAAACAACAATTCACAAGCCCTGAGCTCGCAGCAATAGTAGGTGAACACCTCCGCCCCTTTCATTACCCTCGTCGAAGTGGATCATACAATAGCTGGGCGACGAATTTAATCTTTCTGTCCGCATCCGAGCCTTTTTCCATGATTGATCTGCAGCATTGATCCTAGAATCAGACTGTTCTAAGAGCTCAGTAATTATTACCTAATCACAGCTGCATATTGCTTTGATAAGTGTTTTGAGGCTCTTTGCTTGATGATGGGCTGGCTTATTTTATTATTTGTTTTGCATACCTGGGTGTTCATAAGCAACATCTCCGGCTCGTTTTCTCGCTTTATAATTTAATTTCATACTGCTTTGGGAGCTTTGAAGCAGAGAAGTTGTATAGGCTTGCAAAGAAAATAAAAACATCTATTTTTCTTTTATAACTGCACTCATCTTCCAAATGTACAATATTTGTAGAGCTCAGGTTACTTTGCCACGTTCCGCTTCACGTTTTCTCCCTGCTTTGGGAATTAAATGAACCAACCACGCAATTCATTTCTGTATGACAACATTTACGGTGCCTTACTTGTGGTTCAATTGTGTGCCATGGTCTTTGGCCACTTACATGGTAGCTTGGATGTAACAATGCATTGATTCCTCTAGTCATGTCATTGAGAAGTGAATTTGGGAAGAGATGGATTTTAAACACGACATATGATATTTTTCCATCGGCTTCTCCAGTATCTGCCTTCCAATAGTAACAAACACAATATAACTGGCATTGACCAAACACCCCAATGTACCTGCAAATTACTCATTTTGGATCACGCGCAGCAACATCGACCCTCATGCGAACATTTGGCATGACCCTCCTAGAAATGTCTTGATACTTTCTTGGCTAAGCTCGTGTAATAATAATACATAATAATCACGGTAGAAAGAACATTTTACAACATTAGCATTTACTCCTGCGACGTGACGTAGCAATAGGAGGCATGTTTTAAAAGTGCAATGACTTGCATGTGGAATAGTCCGGAGAAGCCGTGCGTCAGCGTGGCTTGGTGCTAACGGGAGAAATATAGAACAATGGATTTTTCTGCATTGCGCTCCGCTACCCACAACACCTATAACACCTGTTATTTTGCATTGTGGTCACCCATTCAAGCACTTACCAGGCTCAACCCCTCTTAGCGTCCGAGGCCTGGCGAGATCAGGCCCATTACGAGTTATTTGTTCCTCGGCTTTTTTGTTGTCAAGGTGCAGCCATGCAATGGTTTGTTCAAACCACTGCTGGTGGAAGGACTTCCCCTGTAGGGAGCTCTAGATAGCCCCTCTCGAGGGTATTTTGGCCTGCTTTTACACACAGATCAGACATATCTTGTGTCGTTAAAGGCATTTAATTTCTCCGTGAATGCGTCTGTGGGGTGCTCTAATCACGGCTGCTGACGAGCGGCGTTTACGTGGGCAGCGACTCCAGCGTCTCACGTTGTGCTTCTCTCCCCACAGCGGGCGTGGTGGTGTCGGCCATTGAGAAGTGCGAGCACATGGAGGCGCTCAGCCTGGAGGGCAACACCATTGGGGTGGAGGCCGCCAAAGCCATCGCCACGGCGCTCGCCGAGAAGCCCCACTTCCAGGTGCGTGGAGCTCGCCCACGCGGCGCGACACGCGTGTTGACAGGTGACACGCGTGTCAGGTTCCACACGGCACGTGCCGCCTGCCGTGCCACTTGTTGCTTCACGTGCCACGCGTACTCGGGTTGTCGCAGCATGGTGATACTGTGATATAAGATCCGTGATAATCGTATAAACGTTTTTCAAAAATAGCGTCGTTCGGTGATTATCGTTGCTCATAAAATTGGCTGAAATATTAATTTCAGAACAAAATATATACGAATAAACAATAGCTCAAGTTCATGATCATAATTAAAGTTCTAAAAACAGCTATTGCCCATTAAAGTAGTGCTTTGTAAAACGATTTCTGGAGTAATTGATTGCATAATTGTGATATGATGATTTACGTACTCTTGTTTCATTAATTCTCGTGTTACTGAAAACACAAGGCAGGCTTATTATAATAGTAATACATCAATGCACAAAACAAAAGCCTAAAAATATGACATACAATTACAGAGTTCAGCTGAAACTGACCTCCGATTAGCGGGGTGGGCTACGTGCAGTGCGCAAGAAGTTCTACATACATACAAACAACAACACACACATCGTCATATCGTGTAATGTAATACCGTATCGTGAACAATGGTCACGGCAGCCCACGATATGCTTTTTTTCCGATGGCGGTTATTCTCGGCTTTTCGTCTCTCCAGTCACGTGCCGGGCCGTTCAATACCAGAGCGTTCATAATTTAAGCCACTTATCGATCGCGAGCATTACAAATAATGGGTAATAACACTTGAAGAAATGGAATTATGAAGTGGCTACGAGAAATTAGGTGATGTTAGATTGAATGAACTGGTTTAAAGGCTGCAGAGACTGGCTGGCAAGTTTGGTGAGTTAATTAGTTTATTTTGGCAGGTTGATGTGTTTTTTTTATGCAAAAAATATGTTTGCGACCTTGTGTATTGGTCGTAAAATAACAGCGCAACAGAAGTCCTATTCTACACAGTCCCTGCGGGCTACAGATGAAGCCTCCAGTTTCCTTAGGCACCGTGATATTGCACGGCAGCATAAATACCGAGTGAAAAAAATGAATGTTCAATGTTCTAGGCGGTAATGTTTCACTGGAAGGAATAGTGCGGCGTTGGGTTGGTTGTGTAAGATCCACCTTGATGTGTTGGCTGGTACTTTTATACCAAACGGATTTGGTTTATAGGCGTCGATGGGCTGTGAATTTGAGAAGAGTAGAATGTAAACCTTGAAATTATATCCTCAATAAGGAAACTCTTATCACCGAAGCTGATGGCAATCTGCTCGGTTAGAAGGGGGTCATTAATTTGTGATGACTGGTGACTGGTACAAATTATGGTCTTATTACTGAATAGGGCATGTCAAGGATTTAAAATAGCCTCTTGCAGACACACGGCACACACTGTTATTGATTGGCTGTTGTCTATCCAGTGCCAAAGGAATAATATTTCTGCCACCACTTGACTTCGTTCATCACTAACGTTGCAAATCCCCTGTCTTTGTTACCGGTTTTTGGCTTTGCCGATAGCCATGCCCCCCCCCCCCCCCACATCCCTTAGTCTTTCCTCACTTCTTAATTACCCGATGCATCACGTTCTAGCCGAAATATTCCAGTGCAGGTGAGTGGCGCATGGCGCCGAGCACTGGACGGGGCTGGCTGGGAGATTGTCTCCCCGACGCGCGCCGGTCAGTCCGCAAAAATCCCGGCGAAGCGCGGCTCGCCGCCGCTGCCTGCGCCATGCCGTTACCGCCGGAGCGAGCCCGTGCGGACGTGAGCAACATCTGGCAAGGTGCAGCGTAGGGTGCCGTGGAGGGTGTGGGCGGAGAAAAATACCCGTGCACCAGACCTAGCCACGAGCCAGAAGCGCTGAAACCACGCTGCCTCGTTTAACCCGTTGAAGGCCAAATAGCCAGGAGCGGTCTCCCGCGCGCCGGGCCCGCAGAGCGCCCGAAAACCGCCTTGGGTGTTTTTTGGCGACCTCAAATTACTTGAACTCGTCGAAAAGTGAAGCTGGAGAGAGATGGGGTTTATTTTTTTATTGCTTTTATCTTAAGCATTAAAGGTAAATATGTACAACTGAGTGTTCATCTTAATATAGGTGCCCTTGTCAAAACATCTGTCTGGAAAACAGAATTTAGCCTGCTGCGAAAGTCTCCTAAGTCTCGATCAGAGGTGTTCATTCAACGCTCTTTCCCAATCTCAACTCGTGTATCCCCACGGTTGACTCTTATGTGCAAGCCTCGAACTGCAATTAAAAAAACATATTGATATGCCAAAATCGTAGCTTATTTAAAACAAAAATATAGCTCAGCGTGGCACAGCGTGGCGTAGCGCCTGGGTGGGCCAATAGGCTCGAGGTTTTCCAGAGAGCCCCAGAGGTGTCTGGTTAATTGGCCGATATGTCAGCCGCGCTCGCTGCCCGCACGGACTTCTTATCGATGGAAAGCTGTTGGCCACACGCACAACTTATTGCAAGCCGTCGAGTCGTGGGAGGCTGTTTTTTTTTTATTATTTTGTTTTGGTATCATTGCCGCCTGATAAATATCCAATGAAGTTAAACAATAATGGAGGCCGCTGCATTGAATGGTTTGCTCTCCATTAGTATTGGGTTAGTTCTTCTTTGTAGACATCTTGTCTTTGTCTAAAGTGTTTACTTGGGTTTAAAAAAATATTTTTTCTGTGATTTTTCTTTATACTTTGCGATGCCAGACACATTAATTATCTGGAATTCTGTTGTTTATTACATTTTTTACTTGCATAAATTGGATTACTATTGCACCATTTTAATTGTCAATATTATTAGCATTTTTTACAAATGGTTTAATTTCTTCCTTTCAATTTATATAATTAATTTGTGCAAAGTAGCGGAGAAAATGTTTACCTGGAACGAGCAGTGAGCATTGCGCAACACCTTGTGTCGGAGACCAGCCCCCAGAAGGTGATGTCCTAAAACTACTGCTGAAATAAATAATTTTGCGAACTTTATCCACACTCGGGGCACACATTCCATATGCCCCGCAGAGAGTGTTTAATCATTTTGGTAATCAAGGCGAAATGTTTAATTCTCAGAGCTGAAATATATCTGGATGAAGGTAGTCAAAAACAATATATGACATCATGGGGGTTTATTTGCAGTCATTTGCTAACCGGTGTGTGACCATTAACTCGCTGCACTTGAGAACCCGATTTAATAGCAGGTGGTGTTTAAGCTTCAAACCTCGGAGATCATCTGTCCTGGCTCACGCTTCTGACTTGACATCGGTCCCAAGCCACCTGCCCCGCCGCTCTCTTCCCTTGCCCTGCGTTTGACGCGTGCGTCGTGTACAGCGCGTGCGCGTGAAGGCCCCCGGACATTACGATGCACGTCTCCTGCATTTGTATTCAAGAGGCATGTTTCCAGTTGCACGGCAGAGAAAACAAAGGCTTAGAAATGCAAAACCACCCCACAGGCCAGCGGCCTCAAGGATGCAAAACACATCTTGAATGCCAGAAAAATAGAGCAGAGTGCAGCGTACTTTTATCCACGAACACTTGCGATGTTTGGCCTCGTGCCCTGAGACCATGAGGCTTGACCGTGTGCACCGGCCCACGCTCAGGGCCACGTTTGTAAAAAAAAAAAATCTAATTCGGTGTGAGCATTACCGATTCTGGCATTGTCGTCGCACGTTCGGAAGCGGCTCTAAGACTCGTGCACGTTGCCGGCGATCCCCAGCCACGAGGAAGGAGGCTAATTTGTTTTGCCATTGCAGCCGCACACGCAGGCAGCCAGCCAGCCAGCCCGCTCGCCAACTCGCAAAGCGCCGTGTGCGGCTCTGGGCCGCCGTGGCCTCGCTGTGGCAGCTTGGGGGGGGGGGGGAGCCGTCGCACGGCGGTGACTCTTCATGGTAATTTTTTCCAACTGTTCCACGCTCGCAGAAGTGGGAGTGCCCATTCTTGATTCCACCCCCCCTCCACCACACGACACTTGCCAATGGACTTTATGTCGTGTACCCTTTTTGGGTGAACAGAGGTGGGGAGTATAAAAAAATGTGCACGGTTGCAACTACTGCACCGGGAGATCAAACCGGCGACCTCAGTACTGCACTACCAGCGCGTGTTGGTTATTACACACGGCAGATTGTGAGTCATGATGTAAAAAAATATATGACGACAGTATCACAGTAAAAAAAAATCCCGTGCCCTTAAGGTTCAACAACTTTCCACCATCTGACGCTGTGCTGATAAGACTAAAAAAAAAATGAAACTAGTTCAGAGTTTGCCTCCTTAATCTGTGCCGCCATCCCGTAGGTTGATGGACCTAAGTGATTTTATGTTTTGGAGGCAGCATACACTACTCGATTTATTGCACATTAAACATATATGGTTTGCTTTTAATCTTAAAAACTAATCATTTTCATTTCGGTATGCACAGTGCTGAAATTTTTTTTTCCCACCAAAACATTGGGTGTTAACTCACGGTGCATCAAACTTTAATCTGTAAGCGTCAGCCTGTCCCCCGACTGACACAGGCAGTTGGGTTTCAAGCCCGCGGCCTCTCATCGCTCACTTCTCAACCGAGCGGCTCGGCATCTCGCGGGACCCCGCGCTTTTATAGGCATCTCAGCCGTCCTCTTTAAAGCCTTCCCGTCCATAATCGATCCACCAACCCCAGCCTTTGTAAGTGGGCAAATTGCACCACAAAGAAGGCAGTAAGCAAAAGGGAGTCGCGTGCGTGTGCACACGCGCCCGTCTCTTGCCCCCCCCCCACCCCCGCCAATCCACGTGTATTAATGGTCGTGCAGGGCACAGCGGCACGCGTGCGACCGCGTCTCACGCGTTTTAGGTGGCCGGCAAATCCCACCGTCGTTTAATAGCGGCGGTGCCGCCACCGTCGAAATTTGTAGCGGTGCGCGGGACGACCAAATGGACCCCGGTGAGCGGCCCGAACCGAACTCTTGGGCACGGCAAATACTCACAGCATCCCTCGGTGTGGAAGCCCTGACCCCTGACCTCCACTGCCGCCTCGCGCTTAAACGCCGCCGAGGCTGAGCGTAAGAACATAATCATTTTATGTAATGGAAAAAGGCCTTCCTGCCCATCTGGCTATGGGCGTTTTATGCGTTCAGCTATTCGCTAATACGTAGATTTCTTTGCGAATATTTTCTGCCCCCACGACCTATGTATGATTGTGTTTTTCTTTCCTTTCTGCTTGTTAAACAACACGATAGTCCTCTGCACTTTGCAGTGGGCCCCAAGCCAAAGCTCGTTGCTTGGGACACTTTCATTGAGGCGTCAAGGTAGCTGAAGAGTTAAAAAGCGGAGTGACACCGCTGCCTGCGAAGAGAAATCGGCGCAGCCTTGAGGCTGCATCAACGACAAATGCGCCTCATGGCACGCACCTGAAAACGCAGCCCTGCCGTCAGATGACATAGCTGTTGGTGTACCAGTCGTGGCTTGATAGCCCGAGGATATCACCACCGAAGATCAGTTCTTCTGGAGGGATATTTTCGATCCCGTAGCCGCGTTGAACGTGCCAGCCCGGGGTACATGCTGTGTGTGTGTGTGCGCATTGGAGTGTGGTGCTTCGTGAAGCTGATGTTGCTATAGATCTATCCAACCAAACGACGACAGCTGTGTTTCTTTGTTAAGAAAGAAAATTACATGAAAGGCAGTGTGCCTGTGAATTTGTATACACTAATTAACATCATCGTTCTTACGAAGTTTCTAAGCAGTTTGTAAAGTACAGAGCTGTACGTGGACTCTCATGGCAAGAACAAAGGCCTTCCCAAGGTTAGATGCCACTCTGGGGCTGCCACAGAGCTGTGCATGTGTGCACATGAAAGGGTCTCTATAGAGACGCCTCTCTCCAAGATAATTTATATAATGCACGCTCGCACAACCTCGACTCACATGATAAGGCATCTTCCTGCTCGGAGGAACGAAGGCGTATCTGACAGCACAAGGGTAGGTTTTTTTCTCTGCGCCCTAAGAGAGTAACGAGCCGGTGACGCAAATGGGAATAGGGTGAGCCTTTTTCGTGGCATTTCATCAATACAACGAGACATTCTCATCACGTGCTCACCGCTGGAAACCTCGGCAATGAAATGCAGAACAAAGTCGAACCAAAGCGCTTAAATAAATGTACAATGGATAGAGAAGTTTGAACACAATTCCTCACCGCAGCCAAAGAATAATTATATTCCCAGACCGGTTTGCCATTCGAGCCACACGAAAGAGAAGACCACCAACACATTTGTGAGTGTGGCACCGCTGCCAAGCATTGCACGTGTATAACGTTTTGCGGTTGGGTGTGCGCCCGTGTGCAAATCCACGTAACTTGCGTTACGTTACGAATGCGGCCGTTGACGAGGCTGGAATCCTTAGGACCGCAGGAAGGCAAGCAGACACTCGTGATGGACTGACGCTGTCAACACATCCACACGTGTGTAATGTGTCGCATGCAGTTTGCGACGGAGTTCATGTGTGTGAAGCTAGGGGGGAAGGAGCGTCTGCAAACTGGCTGCTCTGAAATGTTTGCATTGGTCCGCTTTGGCTCCTCATTCCTGGCTGTTTTGTAAAGATGCGTCACTGACGTTTCCCTTGTCGTTGCAGAGGGCTCTTTGGAGCGACATGTTCACGGGAAGACTTCGCACAGAAATCCCGCCAGCGTTGGTAAGTTATGATTTCGGTAAAAAATACATCTGAATTTTTTTTGTTGCTCGTTTTTACAAATGACAAAAGGTAATGCATGTGCATGTGCGGCACGGAATCCATCAACGGCCGCGGAGCGTTTGCGGTCGGTGCATTCCCAACTTTTACTTCCAGGAGTGTGGATTGATGAGGAGGACGGCTGTATCTATCAGATGTCCTTGCAGCGGAGTCTCGAGTCATTTCTTGCAGGGAAAGGAGTATAAGCACGCCGACAGTGCGAGTCATTGTTTGTGAGACGGATTCAAAACCAACGCAACTCCCACCTCTCATCTCTCCCACCACCGCCACCTCCCGACGCAGTCCGTGTCATCCCACAATTGTGTTATGTAAATAATATATGCAGGTTGCATGCCAACTAATTTCCAAACAATTTAGATTTTTTTTTGTCTTTTTAACAAGGCATGCGTTTCCTTCCAAATTGAAAATTGAGCCATAAAAGCGTTAGTGAGCGCAAAGCAGCAGTAATATTGTACTCATCGGCTGAAAAAAATATACTACCACTCGCTGCACGCTGCGCTGTGTTAACGAGATCTAACGACATGAAAAATTTGCACGGGTGTATTTAACATATTGATTTTAAAGAAATACTATTTGGATGAGAGAAGCCAAGGGGGGTCAGTGTTTGTGTGTGTGTGTGTGAGAAACAGCCAAAGGATGCATGCTCACAAGTTGCCACTCACACCTTGTGCACATCTCTCAAGGGGGTGATTACACTGCAAAGCTGTCGGCTATTTTGGGGACATGAGATACAGCGGAAGGGTTGGTTGGCTCGTGCCACGGTGAAATCTTCGCAGGATACTCTTTCTTTTTGTTCCTTCATGCACGAGTTGGGAGCGATGGCACAGTGGATCGCACGCTGTTCTGTGATTTCCCATCGGTGGTAAAGTGATACCTCAACCGGTGCTAGCCACCCCTCCTCCGCCCCAATTTCACCCAACCCACATTGTTGACCAGTGTGGTGAAGTATGGTCAAACAAACCCCATGACCAACCCAGTGTGGGGGAGGCCTTCATCAAGTAGTGGATGGACAAGAGGGTTTCAAATTGGTATTAATTGTTAAGTCCTGCACGTCTCGTTTTCTGGCCCGTGTGCAGTCTGCTGGGAAAGATTTAATACATTTTTATCTGGTCAATTTAGCCAAGAGAAAACAGGAGCGCACTTGCAAGACCCCTGCCCCCCTCCATCTTGCATAGCGGCCGTGTGTGTGTGCAAATAAATACCCAATTACATCCTAACAAACATGGGAAGAGAATCCGTGTCAACCTACGCTTGCCGTCAAATCCGCCGGTTTTTTTCTGTCCCTGTCTCCCGTTTGGGGCAGTAACGTGACGAGAGCGCAAAGGGAAACGTGAAGACCGCGTGTCCTTTTTTATGTAACACTGCGTGTGGCGCAAAGCGTAAAAAAAAACGCTTTGTTTGTGCATCGCCGGTTGCTGAATGCTAATCTCGTAATCCCACTGTGACGAGGCCGCCACTGTGGCAGCGAGAGGAAGGTACACATGGGTTGGCGGGGAACGGGTGTTCTGCCCCGCATTCGACGACTTCCATGCTCGTTCGTTGATTTTACATTCTTAGCGCAAACAAAACGTTTCCATCTGCTCTTGTCATCTCTTTCATCGAATCCATAAACTGCAGGTTGATCTTTTCGCGCAGATCGGCAGGGTGGCGTCGTGGTAACACTTGTGCCTCAAAGCAAGAAGGACCTGGGTTTGTTCCTTACTCTAAACAAACGTGCAGTGTAAAGCATAGTCACGAAACGCCAATGCTGAAAAAATACCTGAAAATTACTCCTTGAGGATTACACATAGCAACACCAGCCCCTCCTGTGAAAATGTACGCTCCTGAAAATTATTCTTGCGACTCAGTGAGACTTTCTTGGGTAAACAAGCATAATAACAACAAATAAGATTTATGGAAGTGTAGCTTGTTTGGCATCTTTACAATGTCCACATAATGATGACCGTTATTTATTCAGTAAGGCCTCAAATTTTTCTCTGGGGGCTTCCGCATGGGAGTGTTTGGCCAATTCCCCTTATGAGTGTTTTGCTTGTGGGAGAAAACCGGAAGGACCCAGAGGGGAAAACACTCAAACGTCCACACGTGTGTGGATTTAGGATTAAGGTTGCTGCACTGCCATCTCATGGCCTCCTCGCAGCTCAGCCAGCGGGTTTGGGAGTTCCACCAAGTCCGTGTGATGCACCAGCCCTTTGCCTCCAAAGCGCCGAATCACAGAGGACGCGTCCTCTGGTCTAACACCGTTTGAGACTAGGCTCGAAAGAAAGCTGTCTCTGGTATGGACCAATCCGTTTCAAAGACAATGCATATATTATCAGAGTACGTTTTTTGTTTGCATTCTGACCACAAGTATAGTGGTTAATGCACACGTGATTCCTTGTAAAAGGTTTCAGTTTGGTGTTTTAACATCTTAACACCTGTTTTGTTGCCAGAAAAAAAGGGGGAAACCCTATTCTCATATTTTGGTACTGACAAAGGAGAGGTCCCATGATGATTGGAGAGTATTTGGCTGCTATAAATTTCCACATGGTAAGCCACTTAGTTGAGCTATCATTTGTGGCCAGGTCACTGCTGAAAAAGAGCTATATAGCTCAGTGGGCCTTACCTGGTGAAATAAAAATTGCTGTTTTTTAAAATATCTTTGGCTGTTTTGAATACACTGTTCCTTGCCATAGAAACATGGAGTTTCCATTAGCACATCACGAGTGCGAGTAGAGTTGAGCGCAACCCAACGCTCGTTTGATCATCGGCAAGGCTGCGAAAGGGACCGACTCGGGGCGCACCTGGCCGGGGTGGAACACCGTAAGGCACCATCCAGGCCAGATGCCATCGTGTGAGCGTGGGGGTCTTTTAAAACTAGTTACTTGTCCAGCAAAATGGACTCGGTGGCAATGTTTTGTGCATTCACGCACATGCACGGTTTTGTTCCGTCATTGTAAAACCTATAATCGTTATTTGTAGTACGGTTTAAAATTAAATACGATGAATGGAAGTCGTCGTCGGCCGTTCAGGAGCTCGTGCAGACTTAACGAGACGTTACAGCCCGTGTCATGCTATGGTTCAACCCCCTCCCACCCACCCCGAAACTTGAAATTCTCAATTAGCGCATTAGGGCATGATTTGCATCTGTTTCTGAAACCACGAGTGAAACGACTCTCGCACCATCGATCACGGCGTCACCGCCGCGGACGTCTCCCAATGCTGATGGGCCACGACATCGCACGGGTAGATCCGCGAGCTCGGGTTACCCGCCCATTTGTCTTGTTCAGAAGCAGAGCGCGGGCGAGCGTGTACGAAAACACGCGGGCACCGCGCGAGTGCACACGAATGCGTGCCGTGAAATAATAATTACCGCCGCTCTACACGCGCGGAGCGGCGAGCAAATTCAATTAGCTCCGTTTCCACATGTCGCCCGCCACAGCCGTGTAATTTTAGCGCAGTGATGCGTTTGGGCGACACACGAGCGCACGCACCGCCTCTCCGAGTGGTTCCCAACATCTGGTGGTGATTCGTGTTCAATCGCCGGGCACGGCCGCCTAGTCCGTCCGGGGTGTGCAGCGCAAGTGCGACCGTATGACCGGCTGCCAACAGGTAGCAAGGCGAACGCACACTGACGAGTTTAACAAATATATCAAAGTCACTGCACTTGCCAGAGCTCCCCAACTTCTTCTTGTTAGGTTTCTCCTTTCAAGAACTTGTGCACGTAACTTTTATATTCTTTGGTTCTTTTGGTAAAGTCACGTAGATAGAAAAATAATTATAAAAAATTAATTGAATAAAACATTTTAAAAGAACTAAAATAATAAAATAAAATGAACACTAATGTACACTGTAGCCTGGTTCTTAATCGGAGTGAGTGTACTGGCAGTCTATAATGTAGACTTATTTTTGGTTCTTTCAGTAATAAAAAACACAGGCTACAGTCTACATTATAGTCTACATTCTAGACTGCCAGTACACTCACTCTGTTTAAGAACCAGGCTACAGTCTACATTATTAGTGATGTTTTGGTTTTTTTATCTACGTGACTTTACCGCAAGAAACAAATTACATGAATTGCTGCAGTCACGAAAGTTTAAAGTCACGGCACTTTAAATTTAGCTGGCTGTCTTACTCTTAGAAGATAATGTGTTTATATCGTGGTGTTAACTTGGCGCATCATTTCCATCGCCGTCGTCATCATCCTCATCACCATCATGGACATCATAATCCCACCGGCTGTTGGACATCACTCAACTGAGTTTTGCCAGAGCAACACAGAATTTCAGTTATGCGTTCAATAGATCTTAGTGAAAATGGAGAAGTTCGTGTTATTATTTTTTTTACTCTAAATGGGGGTGTAATGATTAATGGATTCAGCAATTAATATCGATTCCTAAGCTTTTGATAGCTGTATTGAATTGCGTATTAATCAATGTTTGATTCATGTATGTTCTAATGCGGGAGGTGTGGTGGGTCTAAACCCTCCACCTTCAATTTAATGAGCACAGAAAGACGCGAGCCTGGCACAAGCGCCGTGGTGATGTCGCCGCCACTTCGTGGCTAACGGCGGTTGCTGTTGTAGGGGTGGTGGCAGTACAGTAATTATTAACACTCGAGTCTCCACGAGCAATATTTTTTGGCAATATGGTACAACATCAGATTTCACGATATGGCAATTATCACTGTCGGCTTCCCATAACTTACCGTATGGTTTCAGTCGGATTAAGGATTACTTAAGGTACTCAAACTTGCAGTTCGCTCCACTTTAAGCCTGTCATAAGTCTTTGTAATTAATATTTCTTTTTAATGTGCATGCCGCCGGTTACACTAAAAGGTTCATCATTTGCACCACAGTCGTGCATTTCCACACTGTCAAAGTTTTATTTTTTGTTGGGTGTAGCAAAAAAGCCGACGTATTACCGTCAATAACATTTAACTTCTGGCAGCGATCATTACCTGTGGCTGATCAATCGGTACTGCTAATCTTTAAGGACACATCAATCGGTACTGCTAATCTTTAAGGCCACACGAGAAGCTAAGAAAGGGAAAAATAACCTTTCTGCCAGTCAGGGTGGAATGGATGGTGCACTCAAACGGCGTGTAATCTCAAGACACATTGCGCTGGTGGATGAGGAAGTTTTCAAGGTGATATTTGTGTTTTCTCTCTGCTCGAGACAAATGAACGTTTCCTGAAAATCGAAAGTGTAGTCCGAACTGGAGTGTGCTGTCGAGTCTAGGCACGCTGGGTAGGTAGCTGGATGGATGTGTAGGTGAGTGGGTTTCGGTGGGTGGGCGAGTGGGTTTGGGTAGGTGTGGGTTGGTGGGTGAGTTTGGGTGGGTTTGGGTGTGTGGGTGCCTTCGGTGGTGTTGTGAGCAGCGGTCGCGCCATGACGGCAGTCGTTGTCTGTCTCGGAGATGGGCGGGCGTGCCTAGCGGTGCCCGGCAAACGCAGCGATAGCGTTTCGACACATCGATTTACTGTGCGCAAACACGGAGACAGATTGTCTATTTTTTGCGTGGAAATGTGTTGATGCTCGACACTTGAGGAAGAACAAAGAACAACTCAATAGTCGGCGGTTGTGCAGCCAAAGCAAATCTCGCAGTGGTGACCAATCGACATCGTGATCCCACAATGCACCCTGCTGCTGATGTAGCTGAAGCCGCCCGGTTGAGTCTGGCTGGAGCGATGGATATGTCGGGTGGAGCACCGGTTGCTCTCTGCATTCACTATGGGGCCACGATGTCAATTGGTCCCTTGGCTGTGAGATTGTCTTGGGATTGGTCTCAAATTCCCTGGAATTGGTAACAATGAATCCTGCTTTGAGAGCAGCCAATTTTTAATTAATTGCAAAATGGGGCAACGCTTTTATTTATTTGTGGCACGTAACTGGTGCATTGGTTTAAACTGGTATGGAAGAGTACATTTTTGAATACAAAAATTGCAGCTCTATTGAGTTTTAGAATATATTTTTTTACCCGATAACGTATATATACGTTTTAAAATATTAATGTTCCCATTTCATGTATGTTAATTTTCCAACCGCGAGCGTCCTCGTCATCACTGCTGCCCGTTGTGCGAAGCACCCGAGTCTCGGGCCACGGCACACGGCGGCGTTCTCGCTGCCGATTCCAAAGAGCAGCACCGGCACTGCTGCGGCTGCTTCCATTGGTTGGGGCGCGGCCTCTGTAAGCGGGTACCACCAGATCCAGCACCACCACGCTCCCCCCCCCCCCCCCCCCCCCCGAGGTCGGAGCAGCAGAAAGTGCCGCTTGTTCACGAAGACGGGCGGTTGAGTCGGTTTCCAGCAACCGCACCCGGCCTTCAGCGCTCCTTTTCTTGTTCTTCTTTCTGTCTTCTTTGGCGGAAGCGCCCACAGTGGGCACCTTGTCTTCGACTGAGGTCGAAATGACCCCGGGGAAGGAGATCCCCTCTCTCGCCGGTCACTTTTGTTTTGTGCCGGCGTCGCCCGCTCGCTCGCAGCCAATGCGGTAGCTCGCAATTGCGTTCGTCGGCCAATTGCGACGTTGGCGCTCGGTGGCATCCGGGAAGCAATCGGTGCAATCGGCTCCCAACCCGCCCACCCACTACTTCAGACGAGCGGCGTCGCCACGTGATCCCAAGTGGCGTGGGCCTGCAGGAGGAGGGCCTCGCCGCCTTCTCGTGCCTCCTCGGCTTGTCGCGACTCATCGATTCGTGGATCGCAATCGATCGCGATAGATGCATTTGCATCGCGCGCACGACACTGGATTATTTACAATTTGCACAACTTGTATACAAATACAGTGCAAATGTTGCCGTTTGACCATGTGGGATGGGACAAATCCCCAAAAAAACCTATTGATTCTTAAATTGTAACCCTCAATCATGACACCTAATTGAATAGCAGGGAGGGTGGATTGTTACTTGCCCGCTTACTCATCAGGAAACGAGAGCAATGCATATCGCACTTAATGACGCGGCAATGAACAGTGTCCATCACTTAAAGTAGCTACCTTAGTAGCAGCTACTGGGCCGTCCCTCTTGTCACACATGGCACCAAATATGACCTTAATAACATTTTCAATCCCGGCGACTTGATGGCTACCGCCCACGATAGGGGACCTTGTGCCTTTGTCAAGCCGAGCGTTTTATGCTTTTCCACAAATTGGCAACGGAGAGAATTTCTCCGTGTGTAGCGCTCACGAGGAAGACGGCCGCTTCGTGCGTGGTTCTCAGTTCGCGAAGGTTGTGACGATCGGCAGATACTTGTACAACAACAACAAACAATCAAGCAAAAATATTGTTTTTGTAAACACGAGAACAAACTGATTAGCGATGGGGTGTGGTGGGAATGGTCTCCCACGTGGCTCCACGGCAAGGGCGCAGGTCTACAACTGCTTGCTCAGGCCAACACTGGAGGGAGCGTAAGAGAAACCCCTTGAGTAACTTTTTGGCCTACTCTTCCATGTTGGCCGGGTGTTTTAGAAGAGATGGGAGTACCCAAACTTTACCCCAGCATGCGTGACCTGCTCTGCTACGCGGCATTCCCCATTTATACTGCTGGGTGGACGGAGCCTGGGGGAGCTTCAGTGCCCCAGGCCTTCTCAGTCTTTCGGGCCTCCCTTCCACAGCATTCCGTTCCGAACAAACGGCCCTGCCGCTTCTCCTTCGCTCGCATACCCCGCTCGCAGGTTAAATATTAAACGCGCCGCATTAAAGTTGCACGAGCCCACGTGTACCGGTTGACTCCTGGCATATGCAGCGCGATTGAGAGGAATCCGTCCGTGTCCCACGCGCGCGTTTTGTAGGTACACGAGAATCCGATACGGAGGCAATTCACGATCCGGGAGCGCGCGCCCATTTGTCTTGCGGGAATTAAAAAGCTACAAATCGATTCGTTCGCCTGTAGGCGAGGTCACGTGGCGTCACAGGAGACCTGGGTGTTTAACGGCTTTTTTAGGATGGAGCGTGTTCGTTTTGCTTGTTGATTGAAGGTAACATCGGAGCCGTGTCTCGTTATGCCGGCACATTGCCGGCAACAGCGTGAGGCCGTGTGCCATTAAAAGCGTTATGCTGTGATGGTTTCATTAGAAACACGACAAGATATTTAGGTAGCACAAGATCCTTTGCGTAACGGAAACGGGTATAGCTGTGGGTGCAGGATATTCTGGCATTTGATGTCCTTTCAGGTCATTAAAGCAGTGTTATTAGAGTGTCAAGAACATCATTGTGATGGTGGTGATAATGATCTGCATCAGTGATGAACCACTGAAACCTGTGTGTGTGTGCCTGAGTGTGTGTAATATAATGATAGTGGGGAGCGAGTGGTGTGCGCTATGGTTAGCGCACTGAACTACAAACCCGGCGACCCGGGTTCAATTCCCGCTCATGGCAAACGAGTCCCAGGCCTCCCCTAGGTCGACTTAGCCTCAAATGAGTACCTGGTGTGGTGTGTAAACACAGCCACTGAGAAAACAAAGGCGGCTGAGTGTGGTGTTTGCCACCCACCCCCTCGTGTGCCGTGCCGGCTTTCATAGGTGGCCGCTTTACAGCACTTGCCCCAAAAGTCTGTAGTCGTGTGTGTAATAGCCTGCCTTTTTAGCCTTGTTTAGCACGGTCTTGGTAAGGACAAAGGTGCGTCATTCCTGCTCACGGCCACAGAGCAGGCGCACGCAGCAGGCGCGCTACTTCACCAGCTGTACGAGCCAAACATGCCACCTGCTGTCGGAAGCGCAGGCTGCAATTCTATCCCTGCCTCTAGCGCAGCTGCGATCACAGCTCTCGTCTTTGGTAATGAACGAACGCTTCTCACGGAACCGTCTCACGTCCCCGCCCATGCATCCCGCCCCGCCTTCCCATCCTTCTGCCTTCTCCCAACCTCCCCCCCCTTGCCTCGCCTGTGCCGCCACCGTACCCGTCTTCCGCTAGACGGCGCTGGGCAACGCGATGGTGACGTCGGGCGCACGGCTCGTGGAGTTGGACCTGAGCGACAACGCGTTTGGGCCGGACGGGGTGCGTGCCTGCGACACTCTCCTGCGCAGCCGCGCCTGCTTCTCCCTTCGCACGCTGCGACTCAACAACTGCGGCATGGGCATCGGCGGCGGCAAGGTCAGCCACGGTGGAGGCCACGCACGCAGATTTGCGGAAATAAAAATAATAACTGCAGCTCTCCCGCAGAGTTGACCAAACCAAAAGTTTGCAGTAGACGACAGCGAATCGATGAACTTCACACGGAGGTTTTTCACAGCCGCTATTACTATTTATAATTTTTTTATTTGGGTTAAGCTGCACAACCATCCACAACCCCGACATGGCCTAGCTAAGTAAATTGTCACGTGTTGAATGCGCCAATTATTATTTTAACCGTTGCTTAGGTTTTCAGAATCTTTTCATCTTTATCAGAATCTTGATTTAGACTGGAGGAGGAATCCGATTAGCCATAAAGCTCTTTTTCAGCACCGCCTCATTGCGCCCGTGAGCAGGAAGCGGCCGCTTCCGCGTGGCGCTGTGCGCGACGAGTCCCCCGGACTGTGCCGTGCGTTTGCTGCAGATTTTGGCGGAGGCGCTGAGCGAGTGTCACCGCGCCTCGGCGTCCGAGGGGAAGCCGCTGGCACTGCGCGTGTTCGTGGCTGGGCGCAACCGCCTGGAGAACGACGGCGCGTCCGCCCTGGCCAAGGCCTTCATGGTGAGGGGTTGATGCATCGTCTCGGAGAAGTGCCAGCTCGACTTAGGCGTGTAGCGATGTGTTGATTATCATGCAGGTTCAGGCTTCAGATTCTCAGTTTATTTCGTTTATCCAGGGTGAGAACTCAAGAGACAAAGGATCGAGTCTCATTTGCAAGAGTGACCTGGGAGTCACCGAAATAACAGAGGCAATGATACGAATGAGACGGTGTAAACGAGACGAACGAGAATAGACTCAGAATTGTGACAATTCGTTGAACTGCCAGGGGTATCCGTCACTACGCGTGTGATCTAAATATTGACAGTGCAATAGTAACCAAACAGTCACTGCATCCAATCTTAATGCTGACCGTGCGGTATCGTTGGGTAACGTGACCGGTGTGGGTGGGTCGCGGTGGGAGTGGTGGCGCTGTTGTTCAGCTGCAGTGGTCGTGTTTCTTTTTCAGGCGATGGGTTCCCTAGAGGAGGTGCACGTCCCCCAAAACGGCATCAACCACGCAGGCATCACCGCCCTGGCCAAAGCCTTCGCCAAAAACCCCGAGCTCCGTGTTCTCAACCTCAACGACAACACCTTCACAGAGAGGGGGGCCCTCTCCATGGCAGAGGTAGTCGGCTCCCTCCCTCCTTGTTCTTCACTCATTCAGTCGTTCATTTAGTCGCCAATTTGTTTGAAAAATTGTATGAGTGGGAGAGGGCGGCGCTGGGAAATGACACAGCGGGGTAACGCGGTCGAAATTGCATTTGGCCTTGGCAGACGTCTTGCGACTTTGAAGAGCAAACTCACTTATAAACATTTCAAGCCAACTTCAAAGCAATCTCGGCGTTGACGCAGGGCATTCGGTGGAGACGTCTTATCACAGGAGGTCAACAGCGCAGAATGCGATGTTAAGTGAGCATCGCAGCCCACGGGCGCTCCACTGTTTATTTTATTTTCAATGGTCTATTCACCAATGCGCACCCGAGCGTTGTGGTGAAGTGTGGTCACTCACAATCCCCAAGAGGAGGCCTTCATTCAGCATCGGATTAACAGGGGGCTCAATACAATTTCAACTTCTCATAGGTCAGCCGTGTGTTTAATCTCTTTTATTTTGTGTTGTCGGATAGACTATCAACAAGAAAGTTTCAGCAGCTTGCAAGGACGCATGTTTGCGAGTCATTGACAAATATAGATTTTTAATGGATTGGTACTCAATTTGACTTTATAAAAATGTACTCTGCAGGCTCTTAAAGTTCTGAAGAAGGTGGAGGTGATCAACTTTGGGGACTGCCTTGTGCGCTCGGTCGGGGCCAAAGCCATAGCGGTGGCTCTCAAGGATGGCCTGCCTCACATCAAGGTGAGCACTCGCGTTGCCGTTGGACGAGTACTGTCACGCCGGCCGGCGTGATCATTGGTCTTTTTTTCCGGCTGGCTTGAAAACACTCGCACCGGCTAAGGTTCAATGGGGCTCGTGCATTAGCACCCTTCGTCCGTCCGCGTGTCAGCCTGGCCCGTGGAAAACCCGCCGATGGCTCTCGTAACGATGATCCAGCATGTGTGTAGAACGTTGGTGTGCATTCGTGCGGCTGTTGGGGATTTACGCGATCGTCAACCTGCCTCTCCCTGCTGCTGCTGCTGTTGGAGTGCAAAGCCGTGTGGCGGTGACTCGGGCGCGCGAGGGTTTCCGTTGTTGTCGCCAAATTGCGAGCGAGCTCAACCTTGACTTTCGTGCAGGAGCTGAACCTGGCGTTTGGAGAGATCAACATGGACGCAGCCATGCAAGTGGCCGAGGCGCTCGAGACAAAGTCGTTCTTCAAGACGCTGGATCTGAACGGTGGGCCCTCGTGCACACGGCATATCAGAGCTCTTGCTTGCGGGAAACTGCTGTCTCTCTCTCTCTCGTCGGTTTGGCGATGCCACGGTCCAGCGGGACTGCGTTAGCAGCTTGTCGCAGTGGTTCGCAATTCGATTCCCAGTATTCCGGCGTCGTCGTCCAAATTATCCAAAAATAAAAAATGTACCCGCAAATTACCGTATTCAGTTGGGATGTACACAGCAATCATCGCCTCCTAATGCAAAAGCTCGGCAGGTTTCTCCAAAAAAAGTTGTGAGTCTCAGTAAGGTTTGCTTTCCTAAGTAAATAATGAATAAAACCAGCGGCCCTGCTGTTGCGTTGGTATAATGGCAACATTGTCGGCGGTCCTTACACGGGTCCCTGAGCGTGCGTGTATCCCTATGTGTGTGTGTGTGTGTATCCCTGTGTGTGTGTGCGTGTGTATCCCTGTGTGTGTGTGTGTGTATCCCTGTGTGTGTGTGCGTGTGTATCCCTGTGTGTGCGCGTGTGTATCCCTGTGTGTGTGTGTATCCCTGTGTGTGTGTGCGTGTGTATCCCTGTGTGTGTGTGCGTGTATATCCCTGTGTGTGTGCGTGTGTGTATCCCTGTGTGTGTGTGTGTGTGTATCCCTATGTGTGTGTGCGTGTGTATCCCTGTGTGTGTGTGTGTATCCCTGTGTGTGTGTGTGTATCCCTGTGTGTGTGTGTGTGTATCCCTGTGTGTGTGTGTGTGTATCCCTGTGTGTGTGTGTGTATCCCTGTGTGTGTGTGTGTGCGCGCGTGAGCAGGAAACTGCATTGGCGAAGAGGGCTGCGAGCTACTGCGAGGGACGTTGGAGACGATCAACAAGGAGCACGTGCTGGGCACGCTCTCGTACGCATCCCGGCGCACGTCCACTCCGCGTCGTACCGCCGTGCCTGGCCTCGCAACCTCCTTTGTGCCAATTGATTTGCCAATGAGTTGTCGGTTTTGGGGGATGCGGAGGGGTGCACTGGAGGATATACTGTTTCACGGGGCGAGCCACGCATGGCCTGCTGGGAGCAGCGTGTACACCGGGCCGTTCGATACGGAAGCCGAGCGCCGGCCCTGGCACTCTTCGGCTGAGGTTCTTGATGAGAAATGACCACCATCACGTTCGCGTGAAAATGTTAATTACCATAAAACGTGCGTTGATTGGACCATCGACCTTAACCGGGCTTAATATGATGGATCATTCATTTTTTGCCACTCCGGTTGTAATGAGCCAATCTACTTATCATGTTAACGTTGTTATTAAAACTTGTGTATTATTATGCATTGAAGGAGATTGCGCATGGTTGATTAAACCTCCTCCATACGTTCCCCAAAGCGGCCATGGCGCATCCCACTGTGAGCGGCGATTGAAGCCGTCGGCCCCGAATTTAAAGTTCACCGAGTAAAGAGAGATCGCGGCCAATTACAAGTTGTTGACAGGGAGTTGAATTTACCCCGTTGTGCCACTGCTGCTGCAGGGATGACGAAGGCTCGGAGGGGGACGAAGATGGCGAGGACGACAACGAAGACGAGGAGGAGGATGATGGCAGTGAGGAGGAGGAGGAGGAAGAAGGGGAGGGTGAGGAGGATGAGGAGGAGGTGGCGGGGGAGGAGAACGGCGAGGCCGTGGAGGAGTCTCGAGATGGGGAGCTGCAGGTTCGCGGCGTGGCCCTGACGCCCAAGGTAAGGCCAGGCCTCCCGCTCGCGTTGCTGCGTTGATTATCGCCCCCCAACACCCCCCCTCGCCTGCCCACCCACCAGTCGTGTGGCCTCGTCTCCCAAGCCCTTACTACGAGGTGACTTAATTTTCCCTGCCAGAGTGGCCATGGTTAGAGCCAAGAAATCTTAAAGGAGAGAAATGTCGTGGGTCGTGAATGGCAATAAGGAGCGCTGGCCTATCACGCCGAGGGCTGGCTTGTCAAGTAGAGGATTTGTCTGTCATGTAGAGGGCTGGCTGCTGCTGCTGTTCTAGCAGCGTCACGATTACATTTCCAATGTTGGTTTTGGTGGCACAGAAGTTGGCGATTGGTAGCCGTTGGTGTTGTGGCTTGTGTTGGGCCCCAGCTGCATTTCTTATCGTGTCGTTACGCTTTTACAATTGGCATTTGGATTCGGGAGACGCGAACAACAACAAAAGTTTAATATTTACTCCAAAAGATGTCTTCCACGCTCTCCCGCTTCCGTCATTTAAACTTTTTTGCTGTGCTCGGCGGTAACGAAGCCCCTCACTCATGCGGGTCCCACTGTGCCGCCCCCCCGCTCTTCCCACAGATGTTGGACGCGTCGGACGCGTTGGCCGTAGAGATAGACAAGCTCAAGTTGTAGGGACGCAGCAGCAGCAGCCCTTTGCACCGTCGCCCTGCACAAGACAGCCTCGGGGGGCCCACCACAACGGGGGGGGGGGGGGTTGGGGGGGGCGTGCTTTCTCACTACCCACACGTGTGCCCCCTTCTCCATTAACTTTGTGTCCGCACCTCACGACTCGTTCCACACCTCACAAAAACTCGTTCCACGCACGCACGCACTCTGCGCCGGCCCACACAAAGTCGAACGCTCGGTCCAGCGCGTGAGGCCGTCGCGGTGCCCCGGGGGAACGTGACGGTGACCTCTCGCTTCGTTGTCCGGCTCCTCTTTTGCTCCGAGACGTTCGTGCCGCCGGGACGTGCAGAGACCCTCGTCGTGTCGCGGTTTGACGCCGCTGCGCCCCCTCGCGCACGGACGCGGAGCTCCTCGCGGACGCGCCTGCGTGACGAGCGCCGGTTAATCGATGGCGAACGCGCACGTCACAAAGTAATGAGGCCAACGATGGTTATACGGAAGCCACCCGTTGGAGCCGGCTATCTCGGAGCGCGCCGGTTGGCGTGGGTGTCCCGCGCGTGTCGTTCTCTCCGCTCGTAAACTGTGCCCCGTCCATCGCGCTCGACGGCTGCTGGGTGGCCACCGTTGAGGCGGCCGCCTCCTCTTCTGCGCGACGCTCGTGAGACCTTGCGCTGCGCGAGGAGATGTGGGAAGTGAAACAAACGCAAGCGGAGGCCCGTGTCTGCTTGTGAAATGGCATTTGGATATGTCCCGATAAACTCGCGTTGCATATCGGTCGCATATTTAAAATATGTTGAAGACATCAAGTTAAGATTTGGTAGCTGTTTTTTTATTTATAGTTCATGCATACAAAAGTACACGTCTCTTTACTTAATGTTAGACAATATACGAACGCTTAGTAACCGTGCGTGATAATATTCTTAATGCATAATACACAGACGTGTTAATCTTATTCAGGTGATTTTAGGGCAATGACCATAGGGGTTTTGGGTGGGGGGGTGGGAGGCCTTTTAGTGCAGTCAATTGACAGCGCTGACAATGAATGAATGAAAGTCTGCGCGGGCTACACAAGGAGTGTACGGAGCAACGTCGGAGAAAAACGCATTTGGCGGCTTCGGCCATACGGGTAAACCGATTTGATGGCGCTCGGCTGATGATGAGGCGGAGTCACCTGGCACGTGCATCCTCGGCGGGCTCATTGCGCGGCGAGCGATGTGTGGTGGTTCGTTGGCGAGGACCGCTCGTCCACCCAGCGGCGGTCATCGGTGACGTGCACGTGACTGCGCGTCGTGCTGTGGGGTCACGTGATCGGTTGTTTCGTCTTAGGGGATGCGTAAAGTTCGGGTGAATCGGATTAATCTTTTTTTAGTAAAAAAATAAATATTGAACTTTTGGATTGATAAGATTTATAATATTTTTGATTGAGGGCATGTATGTTAATCTACTCTTTGAAACTGACTTGTACGGCTTTAAATATCATTGATTTGTTTTACTTGAACTCATTATACTCAGATGCACAGGTAAGAAACAGACCGAGTAGTAAGCCTGACGGAGAGCGTTGTGATGAAGTAGCATTCCAGAGTTGTTGTTAATTATCGGCCTTCCCAGAAGTACACGAATCCTTAAGTCCTATATACAACTCTCCTTACTGTGATTATAGACCATAAGAGATGTTAATGTGCTTAAGATATCCTTTCTCCCCTTTAAAAAGTGTGCCAAGCCAACCTAAGGGAAATCCTTGACTCCCACTGGGACGCATAGAATCCCAGTTCCGCATCGCATCACGGCAAAATGTGCGTTTATACCGTGCGTGGGAACGTCGGTTTGACTTTGAGAGACCCCACAAGCGTGTCTGAACGGTTCCCTAGCCGTTCATATGCACAGTGGCATCTGCTCCGCCAAACGTCGGGGGGGACCTTGCGCTTAAATTCCAAAGAAGAATCATAATCTTTGTTACGATAATTTTGTTGTCTTTTACGGTCAATGCCGCACAATTCCAGGAACGGTGGTACTAAGTGGGGGCCTTGTTCAGAATGAGCCGGTACAGCCTTGCTTTTATTGGGTGGATGGCCAATGATGGGATGCAAGGAAATTGTGCTGTCAGGATAGGCTGCAGTCGTTGGTGCCAAAATATTCAATGACACGGGCATTGGTTAATGAACGTTTTGTTCATTCAATACCTTCAAAAAAGATATATACCTCGTAAGCATTTTAAATATGGCATTCAAAATATGTTTTACATTAACATTCCTCGACAAATGGATTGCTTTTCACGTGTATTTTTTGGAAATGCACCATTTGGAATACATGTTAAAATTGTTCTTGTGGGGCATTCTTATGCAGGTGTTTATTTATTTAATATTGTTAAGAACGGCGGGTAACAGACGGTAGGTAATGCGAGTGGGCAGAACGAGAGGCCAAATCGAAATATTTTTTAGCACAAATTTGCCTCCAAATATTATTTCAACAACAAAAGAGAAACCACCGTCCCGGGGCAGCTATAGTCTCGAAATCCGTTCTCTATCGAAGTCGGTGGGGTCACTGCGCGTTGCAGCCGGCGGCGGACGTTTACAATCGCGTTGTTTTGTTCGCAATCCCAGCGAGAAGCGCCAACAGCAAAACAACCAGTGGGCGCACCCTCCGCTTTGTGTATTCCGTGGCTTGGCAAACCCAGCGAGGTAACAAATACTCTCGTGTATGATTGGTCTGCAGGCCCTCTTAAAGCACCCTAATTTTGCGACTCATGTTTACAAATTGTCATTGGTACACGTGATTTTTATAACCCATTTGGAATGTTTCGGAAGGATATTGTCGTTTTGGAAGCGGTGTTTAAATTTGCGGTCGATATATTTTTCTAGCGGTAATCGATACGAGGGGAAGAAGGTGCACTGGAAATGACTGTTACACTGAGCAAGCGTTAGACCACGGTGGGATGTTTGAACAGAGCACAGCTGGATTGGCCAAGACCTGTCACTCGCGAATCTATTCCTCGGTGTGTGTGTGTGCGCGCACGCTGTTGCGTCTTTTGAGGATTGCAGGCTGGCAGCCGTGCAATGGCAGGCCAGATCTGTCAGAGAGCCCGTGACCAGCAGCAGCCCCACGCATTTTTTTTAAACCTTAAAAACCCTCGCTAAAATAAGTAAAGCACGCCTCGCCTAAAATTATTAAATGTAAAAGTGTGCGGATCACATTATCCTCTGTCACAATCGGCCTCTGCTCTGCACGTTCCTTAAAATAATTAATTATGAATGTTCGTTTGCATTTTAGGAGACCCAGTGCAGTGTAATTGATTTGCCCTTTAGGTCTAATGACAACAATAAACCGCTTTACCGGGGTTTAGCGACAGTGTGCAGTGTGCGCCACGAACCCCGTGCCTCTGCCGCTCGTGATTGGAGCACCGGTGCCGTGTAACTTTAAAACCGGCGTCAGCTCCGCGGGTGGCGTTCACCCGCGGACACTGTCCGTTGCCCGCTCCGCATTGCCGACGACGTTTCCGCGGGCAACGGGGCTCAGCGTTTGCTGTCCGATCGAAAGCTGCGATGTTGAGATGCGCGTCGCAGCTGTGCTGGTGTCGCGTCATGCCAGTGGCCACACGTTCCGCTCGCTTCCACGTCGGGTGCGTCCGGGGCAAACATTGCGGCGGCTCCATTGTCAGGTCTTGAGTGATGCAGCGTTGTGCTTTGGCTGCACCACGAGCCGACACTTGCCGGTTGCCCGCCACCAGCAGTGGTTAGGCGAAAAAGCTTTGCCGTGTGCCAAATCGCGTGCTGTTAAGACGGTCGACGGAGATGAACGTTGCACAATGCCTTGCTTCACAAAGAAGTGGTACGTGCATTGCAGCCTCCAAACAGTACTGGATATGAGCTTGCAGGGCCTTCTCCCTTTGGTTTGACTTATTACATTCCGTTGGTTCATCTGTTTTAATCAAGAATGTGGGGCATTGCACTGACTTTTTTCTTCCCCTCTTCAGTTTTTCTTTAGCGAAAATAAAATTATAAAAATGTAAACTTCACGCGCACTTCCGTTTTTATTCCACTTCTCGTGGCCTTGCTGCCAACGCCGGCGGCTGGGCCTCCGCCGCGCAGGTCTCGCGGAGCGAACGCGGTGCCCGTGAATAAACACCGTTCATTTGAGGCATTCGCTTGCATCGTCGGGTCATGATTCTTCTTTGCAGGCCTGGTTAAAATGCGTTTGTGATCTTTCTTTTAATAGCTCGGCGGTGCTGCTGGTGTTGTCACATGGGTTTAATTTTGTTGCACTGAGTGGCAGATGCTCTGTTTTGCTCTCCGTGAGATGTTATTTGTTTTAACATCTCCAGTTGTCTTAACACTTTGCCTCCCATGCTAACCGTGCATATTTTAAATAAATACATGAATAAATAAGAACTTCAAAACTACACATGATAAAAAAATGTAATGGTGCATTTCAATATTGGCTTCAAAAGGCACTGACGTGTTAACAAAACCTGACCTTGTGGGACCTGCACTCTGTCGGCAATCCCACTGATGTATAATTTATTTACTCATTTGATTTTTTTTCTTTTCAAAAGTAATTGGGCACGTATCTCATCGGCCACTACATTAAAACCCCATTTCTCCCGAGTGCTGATGAGACAGGAGAGAGGGGGGGGCACCTCTCGCTAAGTGCCACGGCGGCTCGAGAGATGCAATCCAATTTTCGAGCAACGATCTCAGCGCGCACGTGTCACGAGGTGCAGCTCCGTGTCACGAGGTGCAGCTCCGTGTCACGAGGTGCAGCTCCGTGTGGCTGGGGCACCCCCCGTGTGGCTGGGCCCTGGGCGGACCGAGCCTACGCCTTCTCTCGAGCGCCCGGCCACGTGACCCCCCCCCCCCCCAATGTGCGTGGCCCAGCGTGCGTCTCTCTCGTTCAGGTGGCAGCCCGACCCGACGCCTCGGCCTTCCTGACGTTCCCCTCCCCGGAGAAGCTCGTGAGCCTGGGGCCCCAGCGCTCGGCGCTGCTGCTGCAGTCGGTGGAGGTGAGCTCGACGGCCGCCTCGATCCCCCCGAGTGGGCCACGTGCCTCCTTGCGGGGACGGTTGGACCTGCGGCGAAGCCGGGAGAGCATCTCGCTGGGCGGCAGGAGACTTTCAGAAGTCGCGATTGACCTCTTGGCTTTAAGCGGGGCCTCTCGTGAGAGTGGATAGGCACTTCGTATTAAGCGCAGGCATACGTTTTTTAACCAATGCCCAGTTTGGAAAAAATATTAATACTGTATATCAAGTCCCTCAGACTTTGTCTCTTTGGTGAAGATAACTACATCTAAAACAGCTGCTACGGCCTTCCCCTCCCTTTTGAATTGCAGCATCACCTTAGCCTTCAAAAATAATATCTCCATGGTAATAATAATAGAAAAAATAATATCTCTTGCTGGCAGTCACCTCGCTCGCTCGGCACGTTCCCCCACGCTGACCGATGCCCCGTGTGGTGTGGTCACGGCGGGTGAAGGGTCGCGCTGCTCTTTCGCAGGAGGACGTCCACAACCCGGACAAGGTGGTGGAGACGTTCCTCAAGCTGTCCAGCGTCTACAAACCCGAGACGGTGGTGCAGTGCGCCGTCTTCGAGAGCGCCGGTGGGTTGTCGCGCCGCGCTACAACCAAGTCCGCCTCTTCTCTCGTTTTAACTCCCGGTTCAGAATTATTTTGGAATCCGAATCTTGTATTTAGACTGGTGGAATCCGACGAGCTACACGAAACCCCTTTTTCACAGATGTCCATCAATCTTTAGTTTTACGTGCCGATATCGCCCGCAAAGTGACCATCGGTGCACAATACAGCGAAAGGGGGCCACAGGAACGAGAAGAAACGCGTCGCGACCTCAGCGGCTGAGACCGGCTGAGCAAAGTGAGTTGCAACCGTGCCAGAAAGTGAAGTCCAGGAGGGGTTCTCCAGTCTCCTCGCACAGATACACGGACGCAGAGTGTCGTTGGTGTTGGTCAAACATCCCAATGCAGGAACCTCTTGAAAAAGAGTCTTTGGCGTAGTTTTCCTCAGTGGTAAATAAGTCATTATTATTCATCAACTTGCGGCATCACCCTCATGTACGAGAACTACCCCACTGATTCCTGCATCGCGCTCCCGTAATCAACCTCGCTGCAGCGCGTGCTGTCGCATTTTGCACGCGTATATTATTGTCTTGCTATGCATTATGGACACAAAGCGGCAGGTAATTGAGCATCCTGTTGCAGATGCCCTGCTGCAAAAGGCCTTTCAAATGGCGAACTTCCAGCAAGCCTTCATATCGTCGCTGCTGATCCACCTGGGCCTGATTAAGGTAAACGGCAGAATTCGGGGCTTTTTTTGTACATTTCACATCGCTGTCAACCCGTACGGTTTACCCGTATTCTTGTGCAGGGAAATAGAGTTTTTAGGCCCATATGGCGTATAGCGGTTTCAATACGGGCAAAAAATGTTTTGTCTGTGCTTATCCCTTGTGATGGGACTGTAGGATGAACGTTGAGTTTTATAAGTGAACCGGGTTGACTAATTAGGTCTGAATTGGCCTGTAATAAGATAGGCACTGATAAGGGCTTGACAGTTATCATTTTAGAACATTCTAATTGTGATTGTCATGCCCCTCTGAGGAAGACCTTTCTTTTGGAACACTCAAGAGAGTGGTGCATCATCCAGATAAGTCGAGCAGCATCCTCTAGAAGTGGTTCCCAACCTGTGGGACATGGACCCCTGGTGATCCGCAAGAACACAAACGGAACGCTGCGGAAACGCTGCAGATACGATTTGTTTTTACGACACACCGTTGTTGGTGGTGGTGGTGCACACCTGTAATCCAGCACTGTGAAAGAGTAGGCCAAGATACTCTCTCCACGGGCTCTTGAGCTGCCTCTCTTAGGGTCCCTGACACTGGCAGTGGCATGAACGGTTGCAAGGCTGCAGATTTATCTCTAGAAACAATCAACACTCGGCTCCATTGTGGCGCTATCCAGAAGCTGTGATTGGTTTTCAGTTGGCTTGCGAGCCTCGAAGCGAAAGGCGACGAAAGGGGCATTTTAACAGCACCAGCGACGCTCACTGGCCAATAGTTGCTGCAGCATGTTGCCATTTGCATGTCCCGAGATTCACAAATGTGCTGGCTACTCCCCCTCGTGGCCAACCAGGAGAGCAATTTCCGAATCAGACCACGGGCAGATTGCACACTTAATTTTGTAGATACAATTTACATATTCACTAAGACGATTATTGCAATATCGGTTTCCTATAACTGTCTGTTTTGCATTTGTAACATTGTTTTAATGCTGCTCTGTACCTCCAGTATAAATAAAGATTATGAAAGTTATTGAACTGCAGTGGCCTTAACATAAGCCTGCAATGTTTCCCAATCATTGCGATTTTACAGTCGATAACGCTTATAATGCGCATGCTGTCAGTTGCACGTTAAATAATTTAATTCACTACAATAGCCGAGGGCTTTAAGTTGTGATGCAGGAAGCATGTTGCTAGTTGTGTAACTTTTAATTGTGTTATTTCACAACCATCTTATTCATAAAATAAGACAGCTCAGGCATTGAGGTGTCTTAACCCCGACTCGTCAGAATGGAGTACAGCAAACATGTGGATTCCCACCCGCCTGTTTGGGAATATAGCGTTTCTCCCTTGCACCACCTGGGTTTTCTCAAGAGTGCTCCAATTTATTAGCACGTGCAAATGATTATTAGTTGATAACACCTTCATATAATTAATTCATTGGTCGTAACACCTTCATATGCAGAAGAGCGTAGAGCTTGGGCATTTATTGACTGGCTCACCGCGTCGCTATCCTTCCTGAAATCACTGTTTAGCAAAACAGGGACCGTAGCATAACAGGAGATGGTCGCATCGCAACCATACAGAGGCCATGGACGACTTGAGTTTGGATTCTGTACACCATAAAATATGCGTGACAAAAACAAACCTTTAATTGATCAGATTGGCTCACAAAAAATAGATTCTTGACAACTGCTTTTTGTGTTTAGTTTGTTGTCCTTCCCCTGGACCTCCGATTAGCACGGTTGGCTACGTACAGTGCCAAATAATTTCTACATGCATACCGTTGTAAGCTGCCGCAGTTGCTAAAAACCAAGTTATGTCGGTGATGATTGCCCTCAAACGGCTTTGTGTTGTGCGTGCGTCCCGTCATGGCGAATCAGAGCGAGGAGAAAGTGAAGCCCGTTTCGAATCTCCAAGGGCCGCTGGCGACGCTGGAGCACGTGGTCAAGCAGCAGTACTTCCCGCGCTCGCTGCTGCCCATCCTCATCGTGTTCATGTCAAAGTGAGCCCCCTCGCGCACTCCCACGTCGCCCGTTACATTCTTGCCAAGCGGTTCGGGTCATCCAGGCCGAGATACACCCCGCCCATTTCTAACGAGACTCTCTTCTCAACAGCCGATTTCATATTGGGCAAGCGACGGCTCCGTGTCTTACAGAAGTCGAGTTCAACTGTTTGATACGTGTCTTGACATTGGTGGGAGACTTGAAGTTTTAAAATCAAATTTTATTTTCTCTAATTTCCTATTTTTAGTGGGGTATCTATACATGGATGACACTAGACATTGTAAAATAAAACATAAAACCTTGTACAAGCCACTAAAGATTTTTCTACATTTTAAGTCACTTACATTGCACCATTGTTCTTTCATATCGCTGAGAAAGATTGCACCAATACAGAGAAACAATGGCACAAACCTTGGCAATGAGCCGTGCCAGTCGTACTAAACACGTTTGTTACCCCTCCCCCCCATCACAGGACAAACAAAATCCTGGAGCAGTGCGAGCCAGCGCGCAACTCTCTGCTGCAAACGCTGTCCAGCATCTGACCGCGATTTTGCTGCGCTGTGGTCGCGTACGTGGCACAAAGGCGGTGGGATCGCGGGTCGCCGGCAACGTCTTTGTCGCGGTGCCGCAAAATCACTGCATTAGTGGTCGACGCGTCACTCAAGTGCCGACTTTGCACGCCAACAGCTCGTAAGAGTCGCAAGAAACTAAAGAACGTGCCGATTGCGCTGCCCAGTAAATTCCAGCCGTCCGGGCAAAGTATCCACAACACCACCCACCTTGTTTCCAACGGAAGCAATCGTTTTCTGCAATCACGATTACGCTAGGGGTGTAACGATGCGTTCATTTTGAAAATGACGACGCACGCCCTAATCACAAAAAAATAGTTAACTTGGCGCTCAATGTAACGAAATGTCTCGGGAGCACAATTTTTACCTGAGGGGGGGGGGGACCCCTTAATGGCAGCTGATACACAGGTCACAAATCTGAGTTGTGACGATTTATCAAATCGCATTGGGGATTGGGTGGTCATGCAGAAGGGTGAATTGCTACACTCCTAAATAACCCCAGTTCACTTCCAAACCCCCCTACATTTAACTTAGGCAACCTGAAGTGTTAAATCGTTAAAAGCAGCTTTGAATTATGTTCATTACGGACGATTGACTGGCACGCGTCTCGCACGAATTAAATCAAACATTTTGAAGTCGTCGTAACAAGCACGCATTGCAAGTTACATTGTGCAGGGCACATGCATTCCCAGTAAACACATTGCTACCAGTGGCTACAAGCCCTGTAATACGAGCAGACTAATGCAAGATTTATTTTTTTGACTTTGGATATGGGACTGAGTCCCATCGAATTGCCATCGGCAATTACCGTCTCTTGTGCCTGATGGCGATTGTACTTCAGTTTGCCTGTAGTCATTGATTTTTGGAGTGGCCTCAGGTAAATGACTCAATTAAACAATCAATTTTCAGCGCTCCAGTGGGTGTTTAGGCTTAACTCATTTAGTTTCAAATCTGGCTTCTGTCAGGCAGTGGTGTACATAGATGTATATGCATACCGAAAACATTAGCAAGAGCAGCAGAAATATTTTTAATACAAAATTATCCCAAGAAGTGAGATGCCAATGGTATACATTGAAATGTAACGCTGCTGTTGTGATCTGTAACTTGCCTTTACACCGGTGAATAAAATGGCAGCAGAACTTTCCCTTGTGAGTTTGTTTTTCTGGGTGTTTTACTTCCTTTGGGTAAAGCATGCGACAAGCATTTTGAAGCTTTCTATTTGTGTTAATTTATTAAACATGAGTGAATTGTGTAATATAAATGGTCTTTGCTTGAATACCAACCATATTGACAATTGTGAGAAAAAAACATCACTGCCAAATAAAATATATTTAATTGGAAAGTTTGCAATAACCATCTCTGTATAGATGCATTCGACAGTACAGCCATTCCCATCCTTCACACATAGGTCCCTCCACAAAATATTCGTGTTTACACATCCAATCTGACAACGTTCTGGGAGTGTACAATTTCAGCAGCATTAATTCAACACAAGCAAACTTGAAATCATGTACTCCCACACCATGGCCGATGGGATTTGCAAAAACTAACATTTTACGTAGAGGGGCAGATATGCGTATTTTTTGTTAAATTCTACACAACGACGCTCACAATTGTGTTTTGCAAAATACATGGGAAGATTTTAAATAAAACTTGCTCCTGGGTGCACACCGAGGCTGCTGAACAGTGGGGTGGGTGGGGGGTACCTGGCGAGAGAGCAATAGAACTCCCGCCTCGCCCTCTCTCTCATCGCCCCGGGCCTGTCTGATTTGATGAATGGCACGCTCGGTACATAATACAACATTATTGAAAACTCTTGAGGATCGCGTGGAAGCAATCTCGCGCAATCTTTATTAGGGCAACCAAAGCTGGGCGCACGCTTCAGACAAGGAGAGAACACATTACAAGTGGCAGAGCTACCTGCCTGAACAATATTATGGGCATGCACCATCAATCACGGATGCGGGTTTCATACATTCAGGATGTACGCATTACAGACAAATAGGTTTTCGTTTTAGTGCAAGGTTGGGTTACAACTGTAAAGTAGATTTGATGTTGCACTGTATGTACAATATAAAAACGTTTGAAAAGGAATTAAAAAAATATGAGTCTTTAACAATTCACAAACATCAAGCTTCTGCAAACAGGTTTATTGAGGTCCTTTTTATACAAGACTCCCGTGAGCGCATAAAACGTCCCCCCATCTTTCAGTCTTCGTTCATCTTAGGAGGGAAACACAAAACAAATTTTCAACACAGCTTCAGTGAGAATCAGTGTCATCTCCAATACCTTAACAAAAACACATGGTAATTCAAAGTGTGAAAATTACGTCATGAAAACTGCGCACTGACAGTACTTAAGGTGAATATTCAGGACAATAATTGCTCATGCCCCTTGGTATGGGAATGCTGATGTCCCACGCACAAACGCAAATATATTATTTTTTTGCAAAACAGACTGAAATATCGTTTTTGGAGGCAAATGTAATTTATTTTGGCTATAGAAAGGCCATGGACTATATTTGTAAAATGGCGAAGTAGTTAATTGTTCAAGTTAACTTTGGAGCAGGGAGTCCCCTTCAGTAATCCTCCACAGTCGAGCACTGCATTCAATCGATCCATATGACTTGAGACTGAGGACAAACCTGGACGTGCAGCAGGTCTTCTTAGAAGTCTGAATAATGTTTTAACCTAAACAAGACAAAATACATTCTTCGTTAAAACATGTCATTACATCACTATGCGCTTACTACTTTTAAATAAGCATTGCAATGTTAGTTTTTCCACCAGATTCCATCCCAATGTTTCTATCGGTCTCAACATTCAGAACTCTTGCAAAGCAGCGACTAACCCCATGTTACAGAATGGTCCACTGAAGGAGATGTCACAGAACTGCTTCTGAAATACCTTCAGGTGACCCTTTTTGCCACACCACAGCAGCACTTTCCCATCCATCCTGCTACAATTTAAATGTCTGTCACATGACAGCCAAACCGATCATTCCAGAGACGGAATCGAACGAAATTAAGTGCAGAAACAAATGTAATGCGATGGGTTTTCCTGGGCAGTCATTGGCAGCCGAGGTGAAGGTATCACCTTGTGGATTTCCATTTCAAGACACAGAGACAGCACATGAGCATCCACCTGCTGACTCCTGGACGCTCACGAATACGTTCCGCTCACGCACGGGTTTCTGCATGTCTTCGAGCCCTCACCTGTACAGCAGCGCCAAGCCCTTGTTATTTGCGATCGAGAGGAAGCCGCTGTGTGGCGAGAAGGCCATCGTCTGCGCAAGGTAAATCGTCTTGCGGCGAAATACGGGGAAGTTGGAGAACACCGACTGGGACGGGACGTGGACCTGGGCACAATGGAGACGCACAAACGCCCCTTAGCCAGATTCACAGTTGCACTGGCTTCCAGTTGCCCAACGAATACATTATAATGTAAGGTTGCACTCACTACACACACAGTGCTTGCCACAAATTAACCACAATACCATGCCGAGCTCGTCAAGGAGCATAAACCATCAGCCGAACTCTGATCATCCTCGCAGCAGCAGCAGCAGCATTTGGCTAGCCATCGCACACAAGACTGTCACCACATCGTGCTTCTGGGGCCGTCTGGAATGCTCTTCCAATATTAGGAAACCACTGGCGCTATGCACTCTTAAATCTCGACTGAAAACCAATTTCTTTAGAACTACTTTTTGTTTAAGTTTGTTGTCCTTCCCCTGCACCTCCGATTAGCACGGTCGGCTACGTACGGTGGAAAAGTTAAACACATACGTACATACATACGTCTGGTGCAGCACACACAGCAGGGAATGAGCCAGCCCACACGAGTCTCTCCTTGAAATCACACTGACAGCACATCGGGTGCTCGTTGTTAAGGTAAGGTCTGTCATGGAGGCTCCAGACACGGCTGACCGACAAGTGCATTTGCCACTTGTTGCAAACGTATGAGGTTCGAGCCCAACGGCCACTCTGGTTAATACTCCCTCCCTCACACACACCCCTCCCCCCCCCCCCCCCGTGGGTTATCGGGAGCTGCCGCTGGACAGCGGCACGTACCAGTCTCGCAGCCTCGTTGGCCGCATTGGACGCCATGGCGAGGATCTCGGAGGTGGAGTTGAAGGCCAGGCTCGTTGCCGGGGTGACAAGGTTCATGAGGGCCTTGAGGGGTGCGGGGTTGGGCTTGGAGTGGCACTCGTCGCACGTGTACAGGTTCACCACGCCGCTCACGGACCTGCGCGCACGGCAAGACGCGTTGTAGAAACTCGGCTCGGTATTGCGCCGTTCTCCACGTACAATCGTAGCTGGGTACAGACAGTTTGTGTGTGCATCCAGACGAATACCCCTTTTCCACTGGCACACCAAGCTAGCGCAGGACCCTCACGGAAAGGGTGGGTTTTACACCGGCTCTTTGCCGTGCCGAGCCAGAACCGAACAGCGATTCGCTGGCCTCGTAAAACATCTGAATGTGGCTCGGGATGCAGCAGGGCCAGGGGTGCTGCTAACGAGCTGTATATAAAGATCACACGCAGCGGACAAGGAGTGACCGCGTCATCTACGGTTATCTCGACTCGTTCATTGTGCGCAACATCAGCTGTGCGGCTCCGTTGCACAGTGAAAAAGAGGCATCGTCGTCGAATAAAGAAATTGGGGCCAGGCACTCGGTCGGTCGACAACAGCCGTGGGCTCTGGAGCGTAACGTTGCATCCGCGAGTGCAAGGAGAAGGTTCCCACCCGCAGGCGAGGTAGCGGCCGTCGGGAGAGGCGGCGATGCTCGAGCCGTTGACGCAGCCGTCGTCCGTGAAGCGGTTGACGCAACGCCTACTGTCCACGTCCCACACGTACACCTGGCCCTCGTCTGCAAGCAGCCCCAGGTGGCACGGTTAGTTCAACTTCCACTATAATGACGATTAAACTAGTCGCGCGAGCACGTGGCCCTGCCTCCTCACCTGTTGTGGTGTAAACGTTCTTTCCGTCGGCGGAAAAGGTGGCGGCGTTGGCCTGCCCGTTCACCTTCATGCTTCCCACCAGCTCGTTGGCCTGTGACACGCACGCACGCACGCACGCACGGGTGAATATCCACAAGTGCAAAAGAATGCATACGCACAACCATACGTTGCCTTTTACATATTCTTCAGAATATTTGTATAAAATATCATATTCCGTAAACCAAATGTATTTATTGGAAAAAATATAACAAGATTGAACGCAAAAGCATGCCATTACGTACAGCTTTCAAAGTGCCGTGGGTCAATGGAAACACAAACACGGAGTACTCATTACCTTCAGACTGATTAGGTGCTGAACTCCCGATGTCCCCAACACCATCATGAACCGTCCGTCGGGAGAGAGTTCAAAACGCTTTATGCATTTCTCCTCCAAGCCTGCAGAGTTGGACAGAGCGACCAGTTGAGTGTCCAAGTACGACCACTCACATCCTCACTCGTACAACCACAGTCTTCATCAGTCAACCGTATGCCCCCAACCCATCTGGCTAACCTCTCTAGATTGACGAAACACCCCGATGGTTTTCAACCTTTACACGCACACCGCTTTCAACCCGCAACAAATGTTCATGGACCACTGTGCACCAAGTAAAACCACTCTAAAACCGCAGGCCCTGTAACAGTTTAGCAGACCACTTCCCACAGCCTTGAAGGGCACCAATGGTCGACAGGCCACAGGCTGGGAACAACTGATATAGATAAACAACCATATAAATAACCCCCATCTGTCTACATGTTCTGACAACCGACCGCACGTTCAGATGAGCGGCAGACTCATCACGTGACAGCATGTCTGCCACTGAGGACTACACACAAGTTGTTCTACTCGTAAACCAGCCAATCGAGAGGCGATGAGTTCACGTAGCCGAGCGATAGAAACAGAGGAGAGGTGCGGCGGGAGAGGCGTGCTCACCGCGGATGGCGAGGATGGGCGTGATCTTGCCGGCGATCATGTCGTACACGTAGAAGGGCTTGCTGCGGATTCCGGTCGCGATCACCTTCTCCCCGTCGGCGGAGAACCTCGCGCGGTACACCGGGAACCGGTCCAGGAACACACTCTGGATTTTCGGGTTGGTATGACCATCCACCTGAAGCAAATCGTGTTCAAGCATGACATGTGACAACTCCACATGTGACTACTTGATGTCCAATTACTTATTCAAAAAGTTAAGCCTTAAAAACCAATGATTCATACTTTGCCAATATGGTTTCAGTTCATGATAACATTGGGATTCATGCACTGGAGTAATGGTTAGCACACAATGGGCTGGTAACGCAGAGGTCACAAATATGATTTGTCCTTCCGGCACGGCAGCTAAAACAATGGTGCAAGTTTCTCAAATCCCCGCCCCCCACTGCACCTGACCACCCAGCAGTATAAATGGGTTGGCAGGTGTGGAAGAGTCATCCCAGTTCCCTATAAAGGTGGATGGAGGAATCAGAAAGTGAAGTTCACATGAATGGTGACCGTGGGAGTTGATGCAGCACCTGGAAGAGGGAGAGCGACCTGTCCAGTCCGGCGGTGAGGATCACGGCCGCACTGGGGTGGAACTGCACGGAGGTGAGGCGACCATCCGACGTGCGCTGCTGGTTTGCTGCGATGCAGTTCTTCATCTAGTGGTAGACCAAAGGGTGAAATAGTCGACAATCGGATACTCAAAACCGGTTCCTTTACTTACACCAGGCAAAAACTCATCGGCACGACTTCTCTTTCGTGGGTATTTATCAATCCATGAGCAATAAAGATACACTCGTAAAACTCATCGATTGGGTGAACGGTTGAACCAACATGTTTCAAAAGGCAAAGTTATACTCTAACTACGTGGATTTCACGATTGTGCTGTGGGCTATCGAAAGTGTTTTCTAGCTCTACCGCGTGATGCTCGGCGTGACTTCCGGCGCTTCTTCTTCAGGAAATAATTTTATTCGGTTCCTTAGAAGAACTCCCAGCAAGTGAAGCGAAACAGCGGACATCGTGCCAAACAACATGCAGTTCAACCTGAACCATATCGTAGGAGCTGCTACGTCACACTGCCCAAACATGGCGCGCGTTGGGCCCTCACCCGTAGAATGCCCTTGGGGAGGCTCTCCGAGGATGCGAGGTAGTTCCCGGTCCTGGTGAGAAGGTCGTCCTCACCGTCATCTTCTTCTTGCTCATCGCCGCTGTCGTGCTTCGCCTGGCGTTTCTTCTTGACGCGGGACAGGTCAGCCCAATCGGGAACGCCGCCCATAGCCTTCTCGAACCTGAGCGCACCGCAAACCGGCACAAGCAGCAGAGACGTCGTGCTCACAGTTGCTCAGCTGCGGCAGATGGCGAAAAACTGTGGGATCTCAAACGCTAATAATTTCCATCGTATTTTATCATCTCCATCAGGCATTGCCTATTCACTATGAGATAAAGATCTCCCTACACTGTCTATATCCCTCACAGCCCCGTGACGTGAGACCCATGCGGCTTCGGCACATGAGCTGATCTCATCACTCCACCATCTAGTGCGACGCTCACACAGTACGAACGCGAGCACCATGCGCCACACGTGCTCACGCAAAACGCACACAGGACAAGACTCACGACACACGCAACGCACGTGTGGTGTACACGTGACGTGCACCCACTCGGATTTGAGTCGCTGCTGCAGCTTGGCCCTGGGCAGCGTCTTCTCGTCCACGTGGCGCACAAACTCCCTGCGGTACTGGTGCTTCATGTCCACCCTGTGAAGCATAAAACACGGGGTTTTTTTCAAGACAGCAAGACAACATATCTTTAAGTTATAAAAACACAAAATAGGATGCAGAAAATGTTAACATTGAAAACTGAAAATAAAATAGGAAAAGTCGAATATGTGAACATCTTCCTGTAGAATATAACAATTACACTGTGCAAAAATATCGCATTGAGTGTGGGCGGCTATTCATATGTGTGACATTGTACAGTTCGGCATCAACCGACGAAGACTCACAACTCATTGGCGTTGTCAGCGTCGTCCTCGTCCTCCCAGACAGGCTGCTTCTCCACCTGATGCTTCTCATCAGCCACCTCTTCGTCATCGCTGGAGTCTGATGCAGCGGTTGAGAGCTGCATCGCACAAGCATTTAAATCAGTTGTAAATCATTTCATGTAGGTGCTCGTCACTTAAACTAAAAACCTCTGATCATGTGCACTACGACTACCGTACTCTCCAGATTGTAAGATGCTCCAAAAAGACGCACAGCTTGATAATTATAAGACACACCACAACAAGCATTGGCTAATGCAGATGCCTATCAATTATGAACATTTGTCTAAATTTGTTTTATTCGAATAGAACTCATTCGCGCAGAAGCTACACGGAGAGACTTGGTGACGAGACTTCCAGGTGCCACACAGAAGGGAGTGGCAGAGCCACATCTCCTGCTCTCAAAATGCACCAAGAGGGCACCTTGAGAGGCTGCGTGGACGCCAGCTTGTGTATGAAATCGTCCTGCCCTCCCAGCACCAGATGCTCCAGCCGGCGCTCTTCCTCCTCCCGCTGGCCCAGCACGAGCCGGCTCCTGTGCTTCTGCCGGACCTTCTCTTCCAGGAGCCGCACTGACCCCGCGGGATCCAACTTCACCGTCTCCAGGCCCATGTTCTTGGACTTAACCTTCGGCATGATGGCTCTGAGAGGGACACCAAAGGGGCATGTCAAATCTCCGAGCCAAAAAACTGCATAAACTTCCAGGTATGTGGCAATTATCATACCGACGCCTGTGACATCTTAGAAGCTGGAGAGGGCCGACCCCCCCCTCGCTGCTGCAGACTCAGCCGCCCCACACTCCCTTCGAAATTAATATGCAGTCCAGTACACTGTAGTCCAAAAGATATTGGTACAATATTTAACACGGTGACGACAGCATTCCTCAAATACACATGGGGTTAGCGCTCGAGCAGAATGCAGACCGTATCGTTACTTATTCTGTTTAAGAACTTAATATTAACTAAACGTTCGTTTAATGATCACTATGTCATGGCCCCCCGATGAGTTTGTACAAGGTAACGCTACAGGGTTGATAATACTTTAAATACTACCCTAAATGTTAAAACTTCAACAGGGATGCAACATTACAATGTGGCAGCACCGTCCTTAAGCAAAAGTCCAAAGACTCAGTTGAGTAAGGTTTGTCAAGTAAACAGAAGGTGCCAATTCGTTACTTGTACAGCACTAACCGGTTGTGTGTTGGACAGGAAATCCACAACATTCACAGGCTGAGCACATCACGATGAAGTCGAAGGCCTTGTCGGGATACGAAGTTACTAAAAGTCACCGCCGCACGTGACGCACCACCGCAGTGGGCGATTACAATATAGTATATCAAGATATACCACCGCTTTATTGGGTGATATTCCAGATCAGTTATAAGATGTGTATGTGGTAAAAGCCACTTATACCGTTCAGGCAACGTTTGACAAATTAACGCGTTAATCGGTTATTCAAACCGATAATAATCACAATGCAGCGAATTCAAACAATAACAAATGCACATTGTACAACGTTGCCCAGGACTAAAGACACACCAATAGTATTATATTTGATTAAGCAGTGCTAAACGCGTGGGTTTTAAAAAAAAAAAAGCGTGTTTCTTTAACTTCACGCGCGGCCTAGCGCAGGCTTCGGTCTCCGCTTCTGAGGTAAAAAAAAAACATTCCGACAAAAAAATCACCGGCAGGACATTTCCTCAAGTGTAAACTTACGAGTCGCGTCCTGCTCGCGTTGTTGAATGAAGACGAAGACGAGTGTGTTGTAAGTTTCGCTGCGAAAGTCGCGAGTTGCGCTGCGAAAGTCGCGAGTGCGGCGAGCGAGGCCGGCGTGGCGGGAGAGCGCGCGTGGCCGGGGGGGGGGGAGTCTCACCCCGCCCCTCAACCCCCCTCCACCCCCCGCAGATTTACCCACTAAAAATTATCTCTTTGCTTAATTTACAAAATAACACAAACTTCGTACATCGCCATCCATCAAATAAACATTTTTAGTTTTTGTTTTATAATTTTTTTAATTATTTAACCCGGAAGTTGCTGCCGCGGCTGCTGCTGGGACAGCTTCCGGGTCACATCGAGCGGTGGTGAAGGGCGGCGAGGCGCCATGTGGACGCTGCTTCTCGCGCTCGCGGCGCACTTCTTCAAAGGTCTTCGTCGCCGGCGGTCGCTCTCCTCGTCGATGCGTTGCGTGTGCTAGTTAACAATGCGGCAAGGCTGTTGGTGGTGGTGTTGTTTCTTCCAACGCACTGCGTGGGCCTGCGCCGTCTATTACCGCGCGGTGTATAATGATTGCACGACCAGCAGAATTGTTATTATCTGAATTGGCATTTTGTGTTTTCGGAACACTGCCATTAATAATACCAAGGGGCACGGTTATAAACCCCCGGCTGTGCCAGAGTGGCGAAGTATGGTCAAAATAACTCGGGGGTGGACACACCGTGTGTGTGTGCAGATCGCAGTGGGGTCATTAGCAGTGGGATAAGTTGTATAAAAATAAGCTTGGTACTTGTAAAGTAGTTGATTTGGAAATAATAATTCACTGTTATTTGTAAGGCGCCTTGTAAGATTAAGATGAAAGGCCAAGAGAGAAGGAGAGCGACATTGAATATACGGAATTAAGAAAAGGTCTGCTAAATGTCAAGTCCTATATCGCCATGAACGACTGTGCCCTTACGGCAAGAAAATAACTACGCCGTGTCAGGAGAGGAAGAGTAGGCCAATGTGTATAAAAACAAGAAGAGGGTTTTACCCTTTCTTGGCAATACAACTGGTGTTAAGATGCTCGGACACCAGGTAGAAACCTTGAGCAATGAATCAAGTCCGCATGAACCAAACACGAACTTGCGGTGAACATGCAAACACACAAACACATGCTCTGGTAGTAATTCTCTATGCATTTGGCAGTATTTAATATTGCCTTGGTGTTCTTGTAGTCTCGTGCTAATCATTCGACTTATTTACGCGATATAACCCAAAAAAAAGTATTGTGACTATATGGCATTGTCTTTGAAACTGATGTTTACACCAGAGACGGCAGCCTTCTCCAGGGCCTTTGTCTCGAACTCGTGGCTAAAACAAGAGGAATGGATGTCCGTCGTTCTTATGTAGAGAGCAGCACTTACTGAATCACAATGTATTATAATAATATAATACAAAAGGTGTCAGTTTTGTTGCCAGATAAAAGGGTAAGAACCCAATGATCATATTTTGCTACTGGCAAAGGAGGTTCCAATGGCACAATGTATGACTTTTAGAAAGCGTAGAGGAGTCCAGGGTGCTTTTAAAAAAATGTTAACACTTATATGGGACTATCGTTTTTAATGGAAAAAGAACGGATAATTCACTGTAACATGATAACAAATGTATGTTAATAGCTTCAAAAAGTCAAGAGTCTCCCCTTGTTTGCCACCATTGTCAACACGTGCCTGGAATCTTCTCCAGGTGGTCTCCAGAGCCCGGAGTCAGCACATTTCTCGTGGTGTTGCAAATTTTCGGAAGTGTTCACATTATTTTGAAGCACCCTGTATTACGAGCGTTAAATCTGCTAGAACCTATTTAAACGTTGAATGAACAAATCACTTATTTAGGTGATTTTTATATTTGTGTTGTTATTTTTATACTACTATCTACGTGACACTTACCGACAGAACCAGAGTATTCATTTGTTTTCCCAAAAAGTAATTGTGAAGATGTTAAGTAGATATAATTTATTTATTTCGTGTTCTGCCTCGACACTACTACTAAACTACTATTTTTATTTTTCCAAGTGAGGCCCTCTGAGCTGTATATCTCTTTTTCAGAAGTGACCTGGCTATCACAAATGAAAGTTCAACGAAGTGGCTTTTCACGTGGAAATTTAAAGCAGCCAAATACTCTAAATGCATGATGTTGATTCTAAATGTGGGGGTGATGGGGGTGGGGAACTGGAGGACCCAGAGAAAAATCCTCGCGACCACGGGGAGAGAGACCCAAAAACTGCAAATCTACTAAACTCCGCCTAGAGTGGACTTGACATTGGCGTCAATCTAGATTCCTGGCTTTGTGGCTTTGGGCCTTAGCCTTGTCCCCCGTCGGTCGTGACCTTGAACCACGGCTGGCGGTGATGTGCCCGCAGGACGAGAGGCGCAGCGTGAACGCACACTCGTCGCCATCAAGCCCGATGGCGTGCAGCGCGGGCTCATGGGAGACATCGTCAAGCGCTTCGAGGGCAAGGGCCTCAAGTTGGTCGCCATGAAGTTCCTCAAGGTGGCCTGAGCAACACTAAATCATTATTATTATTATTGAGAAATGAATGCATCGGTAGTATACATTGTTATCCACGGTGTTACCTCATTATAACGAACCATGCGTATCCCGTTGGTAGCGAATGTAGCTGCAGCGATTACATTAGCAACCCTGCGTATAATGATTGCACGAGCTGACAAATGTTCAATCAGCGTTATTTACAGTGCTATACAGTACACTGTACCGTATAATTAATACTGTACACATGTACCTGTGTTTTTATGTTTTAATTTGCATTTGGCTAAGGTGTGTACAGATAAAAATATATACCTGGCCATGCATTAATGTTCTCATGTGTTTCTTCAATGGCCCAGTTCAAATTGTCATAAAACCTGTTGCAGTAGACTAAACACCCCGATACCGTGACCTTTCTGCCAGTTTTGCAAGTGGTTCGTGATAACAGGGAAATGAATACCTTGCATCCTCCACATTTATTCTTCCGATGTTTCTCGTGGACACCTAGTATCGGTGGCCTGGCGTGATTGGCATGGGACCAGCTGTAATAAATCAGATGGCCCACGCTGTCAAATCCCGCCCCACTTCGTGAGCCTCTGGCGCCCGTGGGTCCTGGCGCGGTTGTGCTGACGGCGCACTCGGTAGCTCCGCCACTGGCCAGTGTGCCTTTTGAGACATTGAGTGTTGTGTTTCAATGCGCTTGCGCTCATAGTAATGCCACAGCAATGTAGCAATGCACGTCGTTTCTGCTGTATGGTTCAACACTCAGAAAACCAAAGTTCACGTTGCGTGCCGTGCTTTGTGCAGCCGCCCGTCGCGCTGCTGCAGCAGCATTACATCGACCTCAAGGACAAGGCGTTCTACAGCAGTCTCGTGCAGTTCATGAACTCGGGTCCTGTGCTCGCGATGGTGAATCTCATCTTCATTCTCGGCTCTCCTCACCACACCCGCTCTGCTTTGTGATCACAATACAGGTGTTTTATGAATCAAAGAAAATTGCCAAAATGTTTCTCCCCCACCAATATTATGAGGTCAGCCAATCGGTGAATTGAATGCTATTTTAAATACACAATTTTTATACGCATACAATTTTGGTATTTCTCAGTGCACTGCAGTCTCCAATAACATTGAGTTATTAGTCTGGGTCTTCATTTATGCTTGTTAATATCCCCTCGCCATCATCAACCGTGCTTTGGTGTTCGGTGGGTGCTCGTAGTCACGCGAGTCACCGTCACGTCATCCACTGAAGTCATCATTGACTCAATAAATAAAACACCTGCCGAATGTTTTCGTCACCAATGTCATGAAATGAACACTGGGCCATAGGCACAGAGTGCAGTTGTGGCGCTGTGGAGGTGACGTGTGGTGGTGGGTGTGTAGGTGTGGGAGGGGAATGGCGTCGTGCGCACCTGCCGACGGATGCTTGGGGAGACGGACCCAGCGGACTCGGCGCCCGGCACCATCCGCGGGGATTTCTGCATCGACATCGGGCGGTGGGACTTCCCTTTGACACATAGGCCATTGTCTATTGCTAATCGGCGCTTAATCCTCATCTTTCTTTTTTTATTATATATCTGTATCCACCAATGGGTCCACACCTCCCTACACCATGTTGATCATGGGGTGTTATAATCTAGCAATACTTAGCAACGTTGGTCAGTACGTTGTAAAGGCAGAAGTTGTGATATAATTTGCCACCGATGTTAGCCGTGGTTGGGAATCGAACTCTGGTCACCTGGTTCAAGGCACAGCGCTCATACTGCTGTATGCTCCACCTCCCTTGTATCTCGCCTAATTTCAAATGTACATCACTCAAATGTAACATTGTGTAAAGACGACTTGACACTTTTCTTGAGATGGTTTCTTTATTGAAGACACGTTCAACTGAACAGGCAGAGACCCCCTGCAACAGCCCGAGTCTCCCGCACATCTCCCCCTTATGTACGGACCGAGCCCATGTCCACCCTTCCCGAACCTTCTCGCGGACTGGACGCTCGCTCCACCGGCAGACTCCACCGTCACCTGACCACACTCCCATTCTCGATCATTCCCTTAGCCACCAGTCTCTTCGTACTTACAGCCGACACCCCTGTCATTACCTCCTGTAACCACTAGTCCACTCACACCACAGGTAGACTTTACTGTCATTGCAATTGTATTTAAAATTGTTTTTTTTTGCTTATTGTATCGTTATTAGTTTCCTCCACAGTAATATTTTGACGATGCTTTATCTTGTTCAACCTTGTTTCACATGTGTACGGTTTAGTTTGTGTGACCCAGGTCACAGTTGAGAAACATTTGACAAGTTCTCATCTGGTTTAAATCGTCATTTCATCAACTTTATTTGGTTTGTCATCGGTCGGCCGCGATGGGCTGGCTTGGCAGAACGAGAGGTTCTGGGAAGACCGATTGTGGCGTCTTTGTATTTGTTTTTACAGAAACGTGATCCATGGAAGCGACTCTGATGAGAGCGCCCAGAAGGAGATCTCCCTGTGGTTCCAGCCGGAGGAGCTGGTCACTTGGTACAGCAACACCGAGGCTTGGGTTTACGAGTAATGGAGGCTGTGTCATTCCCAGAGATTTCTCTTCTCAACATTTGCTGCCTACTGATCTATTTCCATCCAAACACGCTACACATCGAAGGCTTGTTTAGTTTGGAAAATAAAAGCTACGTTTGTTCGTCTAGATCATCAAGGTGGAAACGCCTTGATAGAATACCTCGCTGCACAAAGCTGCCTCTTGTTTTGCGATTCCGTCCAAGTACAACACTTTGCAAAAGTAAAAAAAAAGCAAAACTTGATAAAAATGTTGGTGAGAACTCGGAGGTTTCATACAGCTTTAACAATGTATACTTGAGAATACGATAGTTCATAGATATTGCAGAAGCAGTTATGCTTCACTGCAGCACTCAAAGCAAAATGGAAGGCACCTTGCCACACAGAGGTCTTTAGGCAGTGGTGGACTATGCATGCCGGTTGTCTTGCCTTGCGCGATGTCGTGTGCTTAGGGGTGGTGGCTGGTTTCGGGGTCTTGCTGCTTAGTCGCGGGTGATGCAGACACGTTTAGTTGGTGTCTACACGAGGTCAGTGTAGCGTCTTCATTTAGTCCGTCCACATGGCTCCAGCTGCCTTGAACAGTAAATAAAGCTATTTATGTCTACAGCCTAAAATATGAAAACTTAGCTGGTTATTTGCATAAAACAGCTGCTGTAATATTCTTCAGGAGAAAATGAAAGCCGTGTCAGCAAAGCGACACCACTTTATGGAGTTTATGCAAGGAGCCAGACACGTGGGTCGTTCACTCAAATACGAAATAACTTGGTTTTTTTTAGGCCAATAAAATACATCATTGTTCCCAGACCTCTGGATGCATTTGCGTTGTCAAAATAGTTACCTCAATTATTCGTGGGTGGATTGTCTGGCTTGGAGTAACCATGCTTTTGAAAAAATATAAAACCTTGATACCCAACGGTTGAATAACTACCCACTTCACTCGTCCCCAATGTGTCTGCAAGTGAACAGGATTTAAAAAGCAATAAAATCGGATGACAGCCTGCATCTTCACCCCCATTCTGTGCAATTAAACGATCCATTTGATATCCTAAATGGCATTGTTCAGTCCCCGCTCCACCCTTAAAATACCCCCGATAAACGAGTCTGTTTACAGACTGCCAAGCATTATAAGCCATGTAGGAGTGATTTAGCTCTTAATTTTATCGGTGTATTACTGTTAATTACTGCATGTGCCTCACCACAAATTTAAGTGTCTTTATCGATCAACAAAAATAACGTGTCATTAGTTTTGCATTATGAAATGTGTACAAGAAACACAATTTAAAATAAGCTGCAGTATCTTTATACAGTACTGTAATGATCGTCAGGTTTAAGCATTGGTGGGAATTGTTTACATTGATCTACTAAATATAAATGCCTTCCAAATTCCAACAGCCTTTTCTCATGAGCTCTGGCAAAATCCATTCCCATGACACCCATGTGGATGAAAACGATTGCCTGGTAAAGACGGCTTCGTGAACTAGTTGGCAATAAAGTCGAAACAGCAATCTGGTTAAAGTGAACCGGCTCAGCTGGAGGGCGAACGCTGCTCGCGATCAGAAGTTGCGGGTTCAAGGCCTGACTTGGCCCATCATCCCCTCCAGGGTCGATAAATAAGAACCACTCTTGAGGAAGTCAATAGTTGTCCTGTGGAGAGACTCGCCCCCAGCATAATGTGACATTTACACCGCTGGCTTGGAACTGCAAATAGAAAATTAAACTCAAATCTGACTTGCCTGATGATGCTTGTTGTAATTACTGGCGGAACGTTGTACTCTAATTGTAAATGTTGTGGATTTACTCTCCCAACACACCGGTGTGCTATACCAGTAACCAATTTGCATGTTCTGTTTACATGACAAACATTACTAATTGGCTGTGGCGGGTTTAACGACCCGTTCATATTTACGCGATCTAACCCAAAAACCTCTTATGGATATTGGTCGTGAAAGCCTACGTGTTAAACAGAAAACTAAACTATGAACTATGTTTTATTTTACCATGTAAGGGCCCACGGAGCTATATCTCTCTTTTTCAGTGGTGGCCTGGCCAAAAATGATAACTCGACCAAGTGGCTTATCACGTGTACATTCATAGCAGCCAAATTATCTTCGCGCGTGATGTTGATTTTAAATGTGGAGGGGAAAAACATCCACGCGAGCACGGGAAGAGCAAGCCAACTCCAAACATATAGCAGGCGTCAGGGTCGGGGTTAAACCCACGACCTCCTGCATGCCAGGCGAGGTAGTCAACATCTCCAAGCCACGAGCATTGCTGCCTCAATGCTCAAGAGATCACTTTGAACGGGAGCAGCTGCTCACACCGGCACTGCAGAAAAGAGCAGAGCCATTTGACGAATGGACAAGGAAACACTTTAATTGCACCCTCATTTCTGAGCTTAGAAAGAGGATTCGATATTCCACGTTTGAAGAAGTAAATGGGACTTTAACAATCAAATTTTTATTTCAATATCCAACCCAAAACTACCGTGACAAACAGCACCTTTGTATACCTCTTGTTAACTTCAAGTACATACAAAATGTTTCACTATATATGTCCAATTCTACATGCTATAAAAAAATAAAACCTGCTGCGGAAAAATATCTGTGAACACTCAGATTTCCTGCTCTCCTCCCTCCCCACGCACCTCGCTTCAAGCGGCCCCGTTCATCATCCAAACATTGAATGTGTTAGAAAAAACACAACGCTGCATTTCCAAACTATTCCCGTAACAGTATGTACAACACACGGGGAACGGATGCAAGTGTAAGTCCTGCCGACGGCCCAAGTTGTGGGCACGCAACTTGATCCGCGCGGACGTGAGCAACGCAAAAACAAAAAGCGCACCGCAAACGCGGAGAACGGGAGTCCAGCAGCCTTCAAACGCCTCGTCCTCACGTGGCGCGTTGTGCGCCGTGTTTATGTCGTTCTCGACCCGACTTGTGAAAGAGCTTCATAGCTCATAGGAATCCTCCAGCACGAATACTGATTCTGACATCACACCGCCCTACGCGCCGTGACAGGGCGCGGACACGTGCGGCTTGCGTTCATGTGGAACGCTCCAAGAACAGCGGTGTCGATTACCCAACAGTTCGGGCAATGAACAACGCCACGTTATGGAAACTCAAAGTAGCTGTGGCTTTCACAAACCGGCGTATCCGCGCGGGGCTCTCGGCGAACGTGCCACGACTGTGAAACGCCAACTCGCAAGGCGACGTCGCAAATTGCTCGATTTGCCGAAGCAATGACACGTCCCATAAACACGTGTTAAGAGGTAGTCGAAATAATCAGTAGTTCTAATTGGGTGTGTGCGTGAGTGAGTCAGTTGCAAATCAGCTATACTTCTGGCACGGGGGAGGTGGGCTCAAAAAGAAGCGCACGCACATGGCTCAAACACGTGAAGCGATGGGGCGGCATCACCGAAACGGGGGACAAAGCCTGGGGGTGAGACGCATCCAAGCACGAGATCACGCGAACCGAGACAAGGCAGCAACTCGGAGGCGCGCAGCCAAGCTCAGGGCTGCTCGACGAGCCGGGCCGAGACAGATGAGAGGCATCCGATGTTGCGGATGTGCAAAGGGATGGAGAGTTCCACGGCCGTGGGGGGCGAAAGCAGAGCACGTGATGCATGGTCACATGGTGTGCGGCCATGGGAAGTCGGCGCAACTCGTGTCGATTCAAAATCATTTCACAAAATCAGCAGATTTCATGCGCGAACTCTCCACTATCCCAGGATCCAACACGGGGTTGGGAACCACTGCTGTTGAAGATGAACCGACTGCTGTACACGGCTTCGTGTTGTGTGATGACAAGAGAGAGGATGCAGTTGCAGACTGCTGGTCAAGCACGTGCGTGTGGATGTGTTGTGTGTGCCGTGTATAGATATGGAGAATGCACACGTGCACCTTGTGAACTTACATGCAAGTGACAGGGGGTTGGATAGAATCTGGTCTTTGAAGCACAGCAGCTTAAAAATACCATAGAAACTAAATTGCACCTGTTAACTTTGGCGATAATTTAGTAGTTTGCTGTAAATAAAAAAAACTTTACCTAATTATGATATATACACCGTGGTTCTAGATTTCTTTACACGTACATTTGCGACTGCAAAATAATCGATCCGGCAATGCACGAGTACAAATCTTCCATCCGAATCTTGATCGATTCTTGCACGCACCTGCATTTGTTCCGAAGACAATGGCAACCTCTTCCCAGCGCACATCTCAGAGTTGCATAGCGGCGACGACACCGGCATCGATCGTGCACAGCCATCGGCAGTGTTCGGCGAGGCTGGGTGAGCGCATTTGAAATCCACGGTTTACAAAGCCCGTTTTAGGTGCAAAATCAATCAAAAGGGAGCGATAACACAGCAGGTGGCGGTAAACGAGACGCGCATTATAGACACGGAGACGTACACGCAGAGCACCCACAAAGTCAGAAAACTAGAACTTGCCAGTGCATTCAGAGTAGCGGCAGCTGAGGTTGCGCCATTTGTCGATAACAGGTTTCTTTTACAATGCTGTTCCTTGCTCAAGTTTGCTCCACCGTATTTCACTTCATACCGTGTGTCACTCAGGAAATTCGGTCGGAGTTTGCACATAAAGACATCACACATTATGACGTGTTCTTAAATCGCTTTAACCTCACCTGGACATAACACCAAGTTGAATTCAGCTGGGCCTTTGCCGAGAAATTATGTAAAGTAAAAACGTAGCCCAGCATATTGTCAGGTCGGTCATAGCGAATGCAAAACACCCGCTTGCCTCTGTTATTTCCACGTTTAAAAAAAAAGCCAAACTAAATATCACACTGCTGAATGTCAGAAGGCGGTCGGGACCACATGCAGTTTAGGTTTCCCTCGCTCTTTGCGGGTTCTGTTTGCGACCGATTTCCACTTCACATTGACGCCGTGCGGCGATTTGAATTCACCCATGTGTGGTCGCACGTGGGACAACCTCGTGTGTGTGTGTGTACCGACTGTCACGTGGTGCATTGTGGGTCGGGTGACTGCGGTCCACGGTCGGTGGTTCGCTTTGTGCGCCCCTTTTTTTGGAAAGCATCTACCGCATAAAGCGAGGGAAGCCTCCACACAAGCACTCACCGTGCTATAGTCACACCAGTGAATGACATTGGAGAGCAACGTCACCGATGTACAACTAAATCAGTGCCGTACACCAGTGAACATTAGCGCATAGCCATGTCAAGTCGAACTGAATTCTATCCAGAACGGTTAACTTCACTGGAGCAGTACGGAACTACTGGGGATTGAATAATAGCCAACAGCAGTGCCCAGGACCTGAGCAGAGACCGGATTACGCTTCAGCTCAAGTTGAGCTGCTTTGGACTAATATGCAGCCAAGCATGGCAAAGCGAGCTCAATTATAGGACGTACCAATGGACCACAAAAGTTTCCACGTTGCTGCACAGAAACTTTATTTGTAACCAAAGTTGTACTGTAGAATTCTAATGTACCAGAGCACCCTGGCTGGCCTAATGTCAGTACGATTCAAGCAACGCTCATGCTGGCTAGTGAACCACACCCAAACGTCTCTCATTAAACATCGTCACCACCACGCTTGTCTCGATGACCCAGAGAAACAACTTTTCTCTGAAACGCAATTGCCCACGGGTGATGCAGCAACGAACATGGGGGGGCGCTCTCAAACAGAAAACGTCACTAAATCTTGACTTAAAGCTTTCGTGACTGCAGGAATTCATCGTCTTTGGGTCTTTCGGTAAAATCACGTAGATAGGTTTTATAAAAAAAACTACGTTTCGATCACAACACAAGCGATCGTCATCATAGTAGTTTTTTTATTTTTTATTATTTTGAACCCATCTACATGACTTTACCTAAAGACCCAAAGAATAGAGACGTCACTACTTGCAATGAATTTTTTTGATTTCCGTGGGGGGAAAATAAACTTTAAAACGAGATTTAAAACACAACAGCGCATTTCATTGTTATTTCAAAGTCCTCAAATAAACAAAACATGGATTAAAAACGACGTTAGTTTCATTTTCTTTCACATCGTGGCGCACGAGTGCTTGTCGCGGTTGAAGGCGATCCCATACAGCATCAAGGAATCACATATAATTGATCATTTATGCGATTTGCTGGACGTGTCTCAGCCAAATGCAATGTTCTTACCCCCAACTCCCAGACGAGCCAGGCACAGGGCACCAACATCAGGCCTCTCTTGGCAGTCGATGGCAGCAACCACAAGCCGGTAGCCAACAGCGCAATGGTGTCGAGGTAATCGGGTTTAATGGATCAACGCAAGAGGACAAGACAAAGATCCCCCTTAGAGCCTCAACAGATTGTTGGGGCAAGTGCTGTTAGCGAGCACCTATTAAGGCCGGCACGGCGCACGAGGGGTGGATGGCCAGCACCACGCCAGACCGCCTCCGCCTCCCAAGGTGGCGACGTTTAAACACCGCACCAGGTACTCTCGTTGGAGGCCTAGTCGACGTAGGGGAGGCCCAGGAGGCGCTTCAGACAATCGTCACTGGTGCTGGCCGTGAACGGGGATCGAACTCGGGTGGCCGAGTTCGACGCAGAGGGACAGGCTGGGCAATTCACCAACAGCAGCACCCTCTCAGATCTCATTCACGAGGATATGAAGCAACGACGTGGGCCCTGAAAGTCTAAAATAACCCAGTTAGCATGGTTTGCAGGAGAGGTAAGCAGGAGGATAAAAAAAATCAATGAAATACTTAAGTCCATAACATTTTTTGGGGTTGGATCGCGTAAATATAAATGTGTCGTTAAACCCACCGCCACAAATTTACAGAATCTAACCCCAAAAAAACATATACAGTATGGATATTGGTCGCAAAAGCCTACATTTCAAATGCTGAAGTGTGTAGATGTTAAAAGACACATTGAAATAAAAACTCAGCGCTTGCGTCAATAACACTGCATCAAATAGGAAATGTATTATAATACCGATGACTAATAATGTAAATTATGTACCTTGCTTTTTAAGGCAACGTTATTGAGCGTGTCGAGGTTTTTTTTGGTGCTCATGCACCAACGCAGCATCACAAAATTATTAATTTAAATCTTAAACAGTTACTCTGTGAACCGTCACAACTGCATGGTAAACGGTGTAAAAGTTTTTTTTTTTGGAGAGCGGGGGCATTTCGTGATCGAGGAATTCCAGAGCCAATTACATCGACCCCTGCCTTCAAATGCACGGCACGTTTAAAAAGTCTGTTAATGACCAAGCCTTGGTTGCATTCGTCTCGTCGTTGTCTCCTTCTGTACAGGTGTCACTTGCCCTGCAATCACCCCTTACAGCCACACTGCTTGGTCTGAAGTCGTCAATGTAATTTCAAAACGAAACTTTTTCGAGAAGACAAACAAAAGATACGTGTCTTCACGGAAATGGCATCAATTACCTCTCATTAACCTGCGAATGAAGAAACGCTGGAATTCACCCAAAAATAAAGATCGTCTAGCTATGCAGTGTGTTCACATGCAATCATCGGCCGAACACAATTCAGCTCATTCCACTCCAAATAATGAACGAGTAAACCACGTGGCCGACAGGAGCGTCGATGCGCATTAACTCCACGTGATTGTGTAGCAGTGGCCACACACCGCGGTGCAGTATTCACATCAGAGCCTTCCAACCATTCAACGTAGGCGAGGCAGAACGTTTTGCCCATTTACCTCGGTTTTTTGTCTTGCTTGCAACATTAACTTTGCTATAAAAAAAGAAAGTAGACTCTCAAAATCCATTCGCTACGACGAAGCGTCCCCAACCGGGCAGCCATGACATCTGCACCCACGTGGAGTCAGGTAAAGGTGAACAAAAACTAAACATCGCTGTATCGGATGGCGCGAGGTGCAAGCAAGTTTATCGACGCACGGCATTGTCGGTTGGAAAGCCCTTTAACCGAGACCATCATGCAAACAATTGACAACAAAAAAACAATTATAAACAGAATTATTCTTCCAAGGTCGGAGGACTCAAAGCACACGCGGACCGTGGAGATTTTGCGATGGATGTAGCTGGCAAGCGGCGACAACCCTTCACCGTTCAACGAAACGAGAGATACGCAGAAAATATTTTATCCACAAAATCAGCCAGCACTTGAACACAACCATGGGAGCCGACAAAACCAAAAATATTGAAATATTAATACCACCCACTTTGTCTTCACGTTAATTCAAAGCAGAAAGTATATCAATCATGACATTATCATCATCACAATACTCCAAAGTGTGAAAAACAAATGAGGATATTCACAGTTACATTAGTCCACCTGAACTACAGCAGGTGAGCCACCAACGACCTCAAATAGCTGCCAACGGTGAGAGATTTAAATACGAAATCTAAACCTGGTAATGGATCAAAGATCTCTTCACGCAAGGTCTAACATATCATTCAGCTATTTTAGTTTTTTTTAGTTTTCTTTGTTATTTTTTTTATCATCTCTGCGATATTAAATGTACAAAAATAAACACTAATTGTGTTCAATGCTGTAAAGACACAGTTATGTACAACGTTAAATGTATTAATAAGTATGACATGTCAAGGATTATTAAGTATTGTTACAATAATTGTTATTTACTTTGTATTTGGTATGTTTGAAAAATTATACAGTCCTATAGGATAAGACTGGATGGAATTCACGACAGTGTAGTTGCGTGTTGTATTTCTGTACAAGGTAATGCTTTCCTGCCGTTCACAATTCGGGTCAATAATAAACTCACGAAGAAAAAAAATAGGATAAAATAAAAAGTTTTCAGAAAAAAATCTCGTTCAATGTCCCTTCCTACGCATTTCTCTGCAAGTTGTTACAATACAAAAATAAGGAATAGTTCCGCAGAAAATGAGTGCGTACTTCAACTTGGAAAAGGAGCGAACGGTTAAACGTGTCGCAATAAGGTTGTTTTCGTCGAAAGATTTTCATTCGGCCGTTTCAAATTCCTTGCCATGCCGACCCGAGCACGAACCCCGCGACATCCATATCTCTCTCACCGTGTCTCTCTCACCCCGTGTCTCTCCCCCAGTCTCCTGCCTGCCCTCGTTTGTGGAATAGGATGGGGGGGGGGGGGCAAGGGAGGGGGCTTTGGCAAACCTCGCGAGGGCCAGTGGCGAAGTGCGACGATACCGTCCAGATTCCCCGATGGACAAAGACGCACGCACAATTGGAAAGTTTCACAATTTCATATTTGACATTTGAAGAAATTTGGTGCGTGCCACTTTAAGCCAACCGGCCAGAAAAAAAACTAAAAATGTAGTGTGATCTACATTTGAAACTTTAGACTTATTTCCTGAGGATGAATGTCTTGCACATATTAGTTGTAATGCTGTGCAATGCACTGCTGTACAGCAACTCCATGCGGATCGCCAGTCCTTACTAAAATCTCATCCTCTGGTCACCATCGGCAGGTCTTCTTTCTACCTTTGTGAGCTTCACCAGGCCACGCTCATGTCTGCAAATCACCCCCAATGCGAACTCAATAAAAATGATCCATTTTACAAGGCCCGGTCAATCCACTGCTGGATGAAGGCCTCCCGACACCTGTAGAGGTCAATGGGGTTTGTTCGACCATATTTCACTACGCCAGCCAGCAAGGGCTGGTTTAGGGAATCATAAATTGAGAAATTAAAATGGCACTTCCACTGAAATCTATTGCCACAGCAAGCAACTTTAACCTGTTTTTGTACTTCAAAATCTGCTCAGAATTTCAGGCTACCTCATTTCTTAAAGTTCCTTGAGATGCAGTCACATTCAGACACTTTATAAATCCAAATTACATTGCATGTCTGTGGATTCACAGATACATTACATTCTGCAAAACGCTCAACAGGTGTTCTCAAATCAGAGCTATCACTAATCATGCGAGGCTGACCGTTTTAACCTCACCACCTGTTATCGAAGAATTGCATTTGCACAATCACATACTCATGAATAACGTTGGAAATATATATATTGCCATTGAGATGCAAAACACGATTAGCACGGTTGGCTACGTACGGTGCAAAAGAAGTTCAAGATACTTGCGTACATAATCAGGTACGATTATTGGCATGGATATAGAAGCTCTTTACCACCTAGTGGCCAATGGGTCCAGCCTTTTGCAGATTTTGATTGAGAGCCAACTTCAGAACACCCATTCACTGGTCACTTAATTTGAATCCGAGCAGAGCCAACAACATGGATTGTCGTGCCCGCCGATGGGATACTACCTCTGCTGTTAAACCAAAATGTTTTACCACAGGATGGATGCCCCAATCACCGCTGTGAAAGGAAACACTTGAATACAAACTGGTATCATTCAGTGCCGTGCACTTCAGGTACAACATTCTGCCTGCTATTTGACCTCTCCCAAGGACTCGGCGTCGCCACCGCTTCAAAGGGCACTCAAACAATGAAAACCAAAAATCAGTTGAAACTAGAGATACGACACGGCTTTTCAAAAAACCAGGGCAATTACACGTGTGCTCTTCAAGCAATAAGCAGTCAAACTTGTACGTGCAACGGATGTCCCGGCCATAAACGAATCCAAAAACACTGCAAAAGCCATGCTCAGCTTTTAAACGGCTTTCTTTGACCGACAATCTGCGCCTTGCACAGCAGTTTAATTCTGGATTACGGCAGTGCGTCGCTACATTCGGCAGAACAAAATTAAATCGCCCGCCCAGAGTCTTCATGCTGGTGGTGAGATACTATTTCGTTTCCAATGCAAAACATTAAAAGAGACCCCCCGAACAATCTTTAACATTTAAACGCCCCTCATTTTTGAAAGACCGTGTGCACGTTTACAGCAAACCCTAAACATTCATCAAAAACACAAGAACTTACAAAAACCCTACAGAAAATAATCTACTGTTTTTTCTTAACAGACCAAGTGTTCTCTTCCGTCTTCCCAAATGTTGTTAAAGTATTTCAAGCCATTGGCCCCATTTGTACAAGAACAATTGTGAAAAAATACTCGACTTATTTCAGATTTTACACTCCGTTTTCTACAAAAGGCGGTACTGGATAAGCACCATAGGAATCAGATTTAGAAATTCTACTTCCTCTAGGAGATATAAACTTAACAGCCAAATGCCATTTTTATTGTAGCAAAAATGTACGCGATTCTGTACAGTTATTAGGGAGACATTTTAAATGGGATGATTCGATGTCACCAAAAAAAACATAAATAAAAAAATGGTGAATTTCACAAGACCATAAAAAACATTTAATTCAAAAAAAGGTATTACACATTATTGCCTACTCCATGTCTGGGCTGTCATTTTTGTTCCAAGTCCCAAACACAAGTAGACCAATGTTTTAAATGTAATAGATGCAACGGATATGGGTCTATACAAGAGTTCCAAGTTCATCGTGTGGGTCTCGAGCTCTTGCAGCTTTAAACAAAAGAAGAGTTTGTTTTCCAGTTTGTAAATATGTCCACGTGAAAAACGGCACCGCCAGTGTCAACGCTCGCCCTTGAATCAAAAACACAATGCGACCAAACGGCCACCAACGTTGAACCCCCTTCCCCCCCTGCCCCCACCTCGAGCCCTTCAAGGGGCATTGCAGCAGAGACGGGAAGTATGTACGCAGCACGGTCCTGTTGGCCGACTTGTCTTCGTCCCATAGCATTGGCCACGAGGCCTGAATAAGACCGGCTTGGTGGAACCTGCAACTCGCATTCAGTTTGTTTGTCGTGAAGCAACTCTTCGATTGCAGTTCATCGTTTCCACAACAGCCGAGAATTCCCCCCCCCCCCCCCGTGGCAAAACGGTTCAGCATACTGGCACAGCAACGTAATGTACCCCCCAATTTCAAAGCCACAAATTGGGGACACCGTCAAAAGTTAATTTAGGAGCACTTGACTTTTCTTCTGGGGAGGTGCCCCGCGGAGAAACTAAGAAAAGCAAACTCGCCCCTTCACGCTCACCCAAGGGAGCCTCCCAACCACTAAAATCGCACGCCACTATATTGGAAATCCACACCTTGAATAGTCGCAGGCACTTTTGAGCACTAAAAAGAACTGGCGTCAGTCTCGCTCCAACGAATATCGCCGACAAATGCCGTGGAGCAACGGGCACGGCGTCAAAACTCCACGGAGAAACCGACCGGCCACCATGTGCCCACCACGTGCCCACCACATGCCCACCACTGGCGCGTAGGTGCCAACGAAAACCTTGCGCGCCGTCGTGCGGCACAGGGCGGCAGGGCGAGGGACGGCTGCCGTGCCGTCTCGCCGACGTGGCGACGCACGCCATTTGGGGCGAGAGGGGGGGGGGGGGGCTCAGGGCTCCTGCTTGGTGCTGAAGAGCGCGAGGCTGGAGGAAGAGGAGGCTGCGCTCGCGCCGCACGGGGGGTCTGCGTCCATGGGCTCCTCCTTGACTGCCATCACTTTGCGGAAGGTTATGGAATGGATTTAGGCGAGCGGAAAACAAAAATAAAGAAGACGCATAAGAAATACAGCTTCAATGGGGAAGACGCAGGCGAGGCGCGTTACACGCTAACAGAAAACCGCACAATTGTAAAAAAAAAGGAAAAGATACATTTTAGCCGCACACCGCATATAAATTTTTACAAATAAGATCAACTTTATACTGCCAATATAGGTGTCTTCCAGTGGCCGTTCATAGCTCCATACATCTGTATGACAAAGCACACGATACCAGCCAAGTCCAGCCAAGTCCAGAGAGCACTGCGTGCGTACAGCAGCCTTCATGAACTCCACTTGGGAAACGGAGCCGGCACCCGCTGAGACATTGCGTTCAAATCCAGGCAATAGCCCATGATTAAACCAGCTTTACGAGTGTACCGAGTTGATGGTCTCAGTCCAGTCACCAAGGAATGCACAAAAATCCCATTACATAAAAGTTGGCGGTACATTTATTTCAGCTATGAAAATGAATATTTTCGCGTTCGATTGACATGCGATCACTCTTTTCACAGCATGAAATGGCGTCCTGCTAGTGGTTACAGAGGCCCCATTGAAGAGACTTCAGAAGTAGGTCTGTTACGTCAACTTCCGGGGAGAGGTGGGGGTGGGGCAGGCGTTCTCCGACAAGATGGGTTTACTGCTCAGCGTGAGAGTTCCAAATGGAATTTTTTTTTTCGATCTCATGACGTATGAAGCCAATGGGCACAATCGAAATGCAATTGTGGAGAAAAATAAAAACGAGCAACACAAAACCCAGTGCAGCGTGACTGAGCGAGTGCTCACCGTGCCCCTCCGGCCTGCGCTCGGCTCGGCAGTCCACGCTGCCCAGGGCGAGGCCGTCGCGCCCTGACGCAACCGCCTGTGTGGCCGGGAACGTCCTGCACGGGGGCGGCGCTGCAGTGCTCTCGTCGTCACGGACACCGCCCCCGGCCGCCGGGTACCGCAACACCAAACCTGGCGACTGCTGCGGGCCCCCCAGGGCTACGGGCCGTCGACCCAGCGCCATTTTCCTCTCTGCGCGGGACGCAATACACTGCGTTTGGCACAATGACGCTTGCCGTTGTTGTGCCCGAGCGCGCGTGAAGGGGGTTAGGCGGCCCGTACTCTTAGTCGAGGCTCGGCTCCTCTCAAGACTCGAGTAAGCCGACTCAGAGCCGTGCTTGACTGGAGCAGGCTTCGATCACGGCCCGAGCCGTGCTCCGGGTTTCCACGAGCCGAGCCAAGCCACGGCAGGGCAGCCGAGCGGCTCAAGCCAGATCCGAGCCGTGACTAAGGAGCTGAGCCGTGACTAAAAATACAGCCCCTTGGCAGGTGGAAGCGGCAGTCTAAATGAAGTTATTTTAATCAATTAGCTCACTCACTTTTCTTGTGTCCTTTGTAGCCAGATTTCGTTTTTTTCTTTTGCTTTGCGCCAGCGGGGTGGGGCGAAGCGGGCACTGTGGAAAATGTTGCGAGATGTTGCGTTTTTACCATTTTATACTTTCAATTGTTATCTTAGGCCCAAAGAATGTCACGCGCCTTTCTTGTTTTTTTTGGGGAAAATAGTTTGCAGCCATCAAAGATCGCAACAAAGCAATGGAACATGCCAGGAAAGTTATGCACTGTAGAAACAATACATTGCAATGGCAACATTGGGGTGAACATCATCTTTGTTGCATTTATGCACAAGTGGACACTGGGCTGTTTGAAACGCACAAATTTAGATCGCGACCCAAATACACACGCACACCAAAATAAATTAGCCATCAGACTAAATATTAAATCCTGATTGAGGGGGGGGGGGGGGGTTGACTCATTCCATCATCCCTAATGGATCAATAAAATAAGAATAATTTAAACTAGATCCAAAGCTTTTGTGACTGCAGGAATTACTCTTTGGTTCTTTCGGTAAAGGTCACGTAGAAAATAAAATAATATCATAGAATACGACGTTTCGCTTGCAACACAAGCAACCATCATCAGGTAAGAATGAATGATAAAACACAGACATGGGAACAGCATAGGCAGACACACATGCAGAGAGAGACAAAGACACACCGAGCGAGACACACACCTTGTGTGTGTCTTTGTGCGTCTCTCTGCATGTCTGCCTGTGCTGTTCCCGTGTCTGTGTTTCATCATTCATTCTGACCTGATGATGGTTGCTTGTGTTGCAACCGAAACGTCGTATTCTATTATTATTTATTTTCTACGCGACTTTACCGAAAAAACCAAAAAGTAAGAATCCTTTAACGCAGAAATCAACAGTGGTATTCCTATAGATATACTCACCCTCGACATAAGAATGTGGAATTTCCACCACTGGGTCAGGGATTTACAAATAAACAGAAGATGAGCACCAATGCTAATACAGCTCACTTGAGCACGAAATCCCTGTGACCTTCACGACGCCGAGTGAACGCCAGGGGTCTGAGAGAGGAGCACGGCCCAGGCACCCACCCACCCACTCACCGGAGGAGAGGGGCGGCTGCAGCTGGTAGCCCGTGAGCTCACACCAGCCGACAGGGAAGAGGTCCGGGGACTGGCAGTCCACCCACTGGTCGTACTCGTCCTCCCAGCCGTCAAAGTGGATGCGCAGCAACCGGTTGACGATGCGCACGACTGTCGCCACGCAGATGAGCCGCGGCTCCATCAGGTCCACCGCCTCCAGCTTCATGCCCACACGGAAGCCGTGGTTTGGGATTTCCTGCCGACGACGGGGCGGGCGGGCAATGTATGGATGTATGACACGTAGGCTTTCGAGACCCAACTCAGAAACATTTATGTATGGATGCATGTTGAACTTTTGCACCGTACGTAGCCAACCTTGGTAATCGGAGGTGCGGGGGAAGGACAACAAACTAAACCACAAAAAAGGGGTAGAAGAGGAGGAAATTTTACAAGAGGCGGCCTTTCCCACAGGACCAATAAAAGAGCGTATTGTTACCCCTCGGGGTCGCATGTGCTACCAATGATTTTCTCAAAGCATTTATCCGTAGATTATAATTACGTACGATAGCAAGGGCAAAGTGGTAGCTTTGGAAAACAGTCATTAGAAGTAGGGTACTGTAGTGTTGGATGGAGAATATAGTTTCAAAAGAACAAAAAAAGTGAAATGAAACATCCACAAAATATGAAAATAGGAAGTGCGTCTATGAAAGACAATATGGAGAGTATGTACGCTAATCTTTCTGCCCATGGCGGACAGTGGTACCATTTTCCTCTCCGGGTGGTACTGAAAAAGCCCCTTGGCTCAAGGAAATACAATTTTGGCGTGCACCAATAGCACCCTCTGTGGGTGATCAGTAGATGCACTCTAACGTAACCCTTGCACTCACCTTGTTGAAGAGGCTGACTGGAGCAGCAGGAGAGCTGGTTTCCCGCAGGTACTCAAACCAATTGAACGGTGTCCTGTTGTAACCTGATAGATTAAAACATACGTTGCGTTATGCGCATAAAGTTTCTAACACTTGCATCAATAATAGCTTGGAGAATTGGTAAACCTGTGCAACTAAAAAACATTAAGCTGAAAACCTCATAAGGTCACGCAACTGCAATAACCATTTGGATAATATTTCACGAATGCGGCAGCATAGATTTGGAACATCAAAATAAACCTTTAAAAACTTTTTCTTTTACCAGGTCAGGCCCACTGAGCTCTATAGCTCTAAAAATCGACCTAGCCACAAATGATAGCTGAACATCGTGGCTTATCATGTGGAAATGTATAGCAGCCAAATACTCAAAAACGCACATTTCTAAAATTTGGGGGGGGGAAACCAGAGGACCCGGAGAAAAATCCACGCGAACACAGGCAGAGACACCGCAAACTCCAAATATACAGCAGCAGCAGACGTCAGGATCGGGATCGAACTCATGACCTCCTGCATTCCAGGCGAGGGGGATAACATCTCGCCACCGATGACGGTACGGGCAGCGGGGATAGGCGGCGCACGCCGCACGCGTACCAACACGAACCCCCCTACCACGAGGTGACGCCAGCTCGATCTGGTTGATCTCGCAGAATCCAACGGGGAAGATGGACGGCGACATGGAGTGGTAGCAGAACCAATCCGTGCCGTCAGCCGCCTCGGAGCCATCGATGCCGATCATCAGAAAGCTGTCACCCAGCACCTGCGTGCGGACGCACGGTCGTCAGGAAGAAGTTAACCACGGGATTGGTAGCCAAAGGGTTAGAAGGCACGTAATGATGTAGCGCAGAAAGCAAGTCGGTGGACCCTGCCTTTCGAACGGTAGCCACGCAGATGGAGGACAGGTTTAGCGGGTCGATGGCTTCCAGCTTCATTCCTTCCCGAAAGCACTCCTGCTTCTGGGGCATCTCTTTCACCTGGATGGAGGCACACAACAATGACGCACACACATGTACACAAAACAGATACCAACAAGCAGAGCCATGAAACACACAAGCGTGCACACATATGGCGTAACACGATGCCAGATGGTTTGGGCATCTGTTAAGACGGAGAAGATGCAATGAGAAGAGACGTGCCAACAGCATAGGAGAGATTCAGTCGAGGGAGGGCGAGAAGGAAAGATGTGGGTCAAGATGAAGCAAGTGGAAGTGACGAGAGAAGAGGCACAGCACAGAAGCAGATGAAAAGTGAAAATAAGCAGCCGAACCCAATTAGTGATGGGACTTGGTAAAGACATGCGTAATAATCAACTCGGCTTAACAATGAATAAAGATAAATTGTATGGACATTGATGGATAGAATTCCAAATTAAATCTCGAGACACTCACAGTGGGGAACAAGTAGGACCCTGCATCTGAACTCCCATCGTGTTTCTTGGCTCCTTCTGAAAAGAAAAGCATCATGGCCAGGCCAGCAGTCGGGCGATGAATATTCGTGAAGGTAAAACGAAAGTTATTTTCACACGAATGTAATCTTCAGGCGTCCCGTGTGCATGCACGAGGGTTGTCGCAAGGTGGCGACAATCCTAAGGTCATTTTTACAGTTTTACCACCGTATTGCAATGATCGTTTTCACGTCGCGGTTGCGCACCAGGGCTCTTGTGCTGGTGCCCAACGGCCCGCGACCAGCCGATGGGGTGGATGAGCGGGCTGCGCATGTGGCACCAGAAGTCGTCCTCATCGCCACCAGCCACGCTCCCGGCGCCGCCCCCCGCCGTGCCCTGTCGCCACGGTGCCGGCGCCGTCCCTGTACGTGAGGCGCAGCCGGCCGCCGATCACACTGTCCACGAGAGCGACGCGTGTCCGGGAGATCTGCGCCTTGTCCACCACCTCCAGACGCATGCCGCGCTTGAAGGGAAAGCTCAGACTCTCCTGCACCTGGCGGTGGATGGGGGATGGGGTGGGAGCGGCATGGGCATGGCCGGAGAAAAGGAAAGCAGTACAACGGGTAGAAAGGTTAAGATCAAGTCAAGATTAAAGCATTTCGGAAGAGTGTTGGTCATGTCCTGCGGCACACCGCTATCGTCAACTAAATCTCGACGAGTGTGTCGTCCTTCCCCACACCTCCGATAAGCACGGTTGGCTACGTACGGTACAAACGAAGTTAACACGCGCAACTACGTCGCGCTTACCTTAGCTTGGAAGTCTGGCGGCAGAGTCTTGGAGCCCGTCAATTTCTTAACGAGGAACGCTTTCCAGTTGGAGCACCTGTGCATGATCGCTGAACAGCGTTCAACGCAGGCAGACGCACACACGCCTTTAGATACGCATCCCAACATCGTCCACACATTTCACCTGGACAATAAAGCACAGGCAATACAGCAAAACGTCTCATTGAAAAACTGGTCGTTGTATACATTTACACAAGTGATGCACAGGCATGAGAACGATACAATTAGTGAATTTGCAGTCTGCGTTGGCACTGCCCGCTGGCTTACTCTGCGGCGGGACAAGCGGCTTGCCGATGGTTGCGCACCAGCCGATGGGGTGCACATCCGGCGTGCAGAGGTTGCACCAGAAGTCCCGGCTGGAATCGCTCTCGTAACCCTCGTATCTGAGCAGACCCTTGTAACCTGAATTAGAGGAGAGGCAAGAGGTTAGCAGGGTGGGGCAGTGGAAAAATGCTTGTGCCTCATGGCAGGAATGGCCCGGGATGGATTTCACGACTCTGGTGCGTTTCACGTTCTCTCACTGGTCTGCATTGGTTTCCTACGGTTTTATCTCACGGATAAAAATGTTACTAAAACAACAATGCTGAAATATGTACCTGCAAATTACTTAACTTGGATTACACACAGCATCGTCAACCACCAACTATAAAAACTTAGCAGGGCCCTACTTAAAAAGCATCAAGCCTCAACGGAGGCTTCTCCTGGGTAAACAAGCGTAATAATAAAAATAGAATCTGGTTCGCGTGAGCAGCCGTGCAAGCAGATCTTCAGAGCCACGTCATAAACAGTGGCCACGTCACACTCACCTGCCAGCTTGATGACCCACGCGATCCAGAACACCTTGCTGGACACCACGCAGTCAGTGTTCACCACTTCCACCCTCATGCCCTCCGTGATGTCCCCCCAATGATCCGCCATGGGAGCCTGCAAACATCAACGAGCGTGGTGAAGGCAGAGGCAGCGCGCAAGCCGACGGGCCACGCTGCACGCGAGCTGCAATTCGCCACTGTGGAGACGGGGTTGATGGATCACACACACAGTCGTGAAACTCCCCCTCTAGCCGCAGGCGTCAAGGTTGCTATCTCCTGGCTTACCAGGAAATTACATCACAGCATGTAATTGAATTTCCATCTGTATGGGGATTTAAGTGTTACCCCCCCCCCCTCCCCCACTTGCTTAGGACATCTCCAGGTACTCAGGTTTCCGCCAACATGCAAAAACGCTCATCAATGGAATTGACCAAACATCCCTATATAGTACCATAGAGCTTGGCCAATTGTTGGCACCGGTTCTGGTTGCCTTCCCGCTTGTTTGTCATCTCCCGCACATTTAATTAATTTTCTCCGAGACCGAACAATAACTGTGCGCGTTGAAAAATATAAATTGATATGCTACGTGCTTTGCACACAGAGCATCAAGTGTACGAAATTACCGATTTAGAATGTAGAAATTCACAAAAGAACAGCAATCAGCAGTGTCCATCATAACCACCCTTCCAAGAGCAGGTATAAGAGAAATGCGTTGCCATTTTCACACGTCGCCCACTCACGTGCTTGAAGCAGCCGACGGACGCTGCGGTCAGACTGTTCTTCCAGATGTAGCGCCCCCATTCAAAGCCATCCGACGACGTTTTTACTGCAAAGATATTCAGACATGAAAAACGCAGGTTTCACTATTGCAAAGAAGATTTTAATTTCTTACCAGATAGGCTTCCACATTGTTTAACGTTTGGCTAGTGTTTTTTACTGGCCTAAACCATGGAGGCACAAAGAGGCTCACTTGATTTGCGCTTGGCCTGACTCTGCAACGTAGCCTGTAGCATGCTGCTTTGCGTTAGCTTGGGTGCCATCGGTTTTGGCAGCAGTTTGGCTTTTTTCGATGGCGATTTACCCTGCAAATGAGAAACACGGCCACTTTTAAGTATAATGCACTCACGTAACGCAGTTCAAATCAGAGAGGCAATGGAGTCTCCGATCGCCAATGTATTTTGCTCCAGGAAATAGGAAAACAGCAGCGTCAGGGCACCTGTAGGCGGGCGAGGACGCTGGCCTTCTTCGAGTTGGAGGAATAACTACGCGAGCAGGACACGCTGCAGAACCGCTTTGTTTTGGAGTAGAACGCGTCCCTCACACCGACCATGCCACACATTTCACAGGTAGCTGGAAAAAAACAAAATACATGTTAAACTTTTTAAAATGCCATTGTTCAATGACAAATTTTAAAAGACCAAGAGAACATCCATTGTCAATGTGGTCGTCTGAAGAATGCGCACAATGGTCCAACGAGGAACACGGGCCCATCCTCCACCACCTTACCCCGTGGTCTTCTGTTCAACCTTCCAGTCTGCCCAATCCAAACACACATGAGGTGCCCTGCGTGTGGGCCACTCGGGACAGAGGGAAAGAACGTGGGTCCCAGCACACGTGCACCCGCGCGGCTCCACTCACCCATGCCCGACTTGCCATCAGGATAGGTATACACCTGCCCATTGGTCTTGATGACGGGGAGGCTGGCCGGGGGAGTCTGCACCACCTCATCTTCACTCTCCTCCGAGCTGCTGCTGCTGTTGCCTCTCTCGTCAGAGCTCTCGTAGCTGTCCATCGCTCCGCCACTCGGTGCCGCGCTCACGCCGTCACCAGCCCCACCTGTCCGTGGGGAACGCGGGCTCACGATCGTCAACGCTCACGGTGGCTCAACGGATCGCAGTGACGTGCTGAACCACGAGTGCCACAACTCAAGGCAGCGAGACGATTGCAGAGCACTGCATCTCAAGGTGGCGAGCATGTTTATGTAATCGGCTTTGCCTATGCCACTTCCTTTATTTAAACAGCGAGAACCAACCACACTTCACAATTTAAACACTACGCGGTACTTTAAATGACCGAGTTAAAGATATTGTAGGTTACGCAAAGATAGTTTAAATAAGCTTAAAAATGTATATTCAATAAAGTGTTGCATTCATTAAAATTTTCATAAAATCTTCCTTGCCTCTTACCTTTCCAAATAACAAGTGAAACTTTCCTGCGTTTAAAAAAAACACCTTCATGTCCGACTAAACCAACCGCCCAAACCGGATTTTGCAGCCCATCAATGTCAGGTATGATACATCTAAGGAAAGAAAGTCACTTAAAGAGCTGTCGGCCATCCAATTCATCATAATTACTACACCCAGGGTTACAAAACTGGGTTGGGCTAATTTGCCTCGTGCTCGCACACATTTAAAGACCCCGCGCATAATACTTAGTTGTTTCTGTTCTTTAAACTGCTCTGCATGTTGAAAGGCTAAACAAGCATGTACAGTATAATCAACTCTCGAATATATTCCCATAACTAAAGGCCAACCACGTCACACCGACATAGGCAATAAACTACGTAAATAGTATATATTTGTTGGGGTTCATGCCTAAACTACCCAGCAATGTCAGTACACATCGTTCACATTGAGAACCACGAAAGGCCTTTAAACGAACAAGGTGTGTAAAGATAGCCGTTGACAAAATTACAGCATTAAATAAAGAAAACACTACAGAATTGTTCCATGTGGCAGATGCGCATGGTTGGTATTCATTCAACACAAGGTAGATTATTCGCACTCGCACGGTGTTTTATGTGTACATGCGAATATGGAAATGTGTAACTAGTGAACATGAGAAGCATATTCTCTACCTTTAGTTTTACATTGCGAGGGCAAAGAAATTCTTCGTTTACCAAAACATCAATCTCGTTGGTTCACGAAGTGACGATGCAAGCCATAGTGGGGAAGTTTGTTTTAATGTATTTAAAAGGGGTGATATGTTTATAAATACCCCATTAAAATACGGAACTTCAACAAAAACAACATTATATTTTATCGCACACATCTTGACCTATACGTATTACAATTTACAACTTTATTTGTAACACCATTCCATAACCGAAGAAATGCTGCTTCTAATAAAAAAAACTGTAGAGAAAGAATACAGAGCGATACATCACAGCGAGCTAATTTAGTGTTTTTGGCAAGCTGCTCGCTCACTGGAGACTCTCACTTAATTGTTTGAGCCACGGAGTCATTTGCGAATGATCACAAACACAGACGACACGTTACGGAAACTCCAATATCATCAAAAAGTAATAATGGTTTTATGTAAGCATCAAAATAACTATCCTCAAAATGCCGATCTACCCAGCGTGAAGCTGCATGTTGTTCCAATGCAGGATGGCAACAGCTTGGAGGCCTTCATTCAGCAATGGATTGATACGAATGGCTTATGACGATGACAGCACGACGTGTACTACTTACCACATTAAGCCCGCGACTGCTAAAGGTATCTGCGTGTGTAAATGTAATGAACAAGACAGGCCACATACCGTGTCATTTCGGACAGAAGTTTGAGCCTCCAATCGCATCCGCCAAGTCACACGTGGAGGCAGCAGCAGCAGCACAAAGGCGGTCCGTGTCGGTCCTGCTGCGTGGACATTTTCACAGCGAGACAAACAGCAGATCCAGCAACGGCGGAGCACATCAAGGAGTGTAACACTCAATCCCTTTCTAGTCCACCTCACTGTTTAACCTTCATGTACCACTTCTTTTACATCTCCCGCTTGCACAATCCCTCATGTATCCATCTCACCCCCCCCCCCCCCAATTCCCTCTCCTTTCCCTCGGTCGCGTTATCGCTCTCAACACAAGATAATCGCCCCACACAGAATCACAAGACAAAACACGATCGCACCGCACACCGCGTTAATCACCCCACACCTCCCTCTCCTCCTCTTGTTCTTCACGGTTGTAATCTCACTCTACTCCTCTTCCATTCACCCACGAGCTTCCCGTTGCGTTTCCCTCCTCGTGTGGATTCCGGAGCAGCACAATCGTCGCGACAAACCCACACACCAGCACCACATGTCGACTAATCATCACAAAACCCCCACCACACACCATCACCACAACACGGCAGCATCAGCATTCATAGCACGTCCTGGCCTTACATGGGGGGGGGGGGGGCAGGGGGGGGGGGGCGACGATTCGAATTAAACGTTAGGAAAACATGGATTAAACAATTACCAGAAACAGTATACATTGAAAGAGAAGCGTGGACATTAGCAGCTGAGCCACCAGGCAGCGGCAGCAGCAGCAGCCACAACAACAAAGGCACAGAGTTCATGTGGCGAGACAAGCCAGAGGAGACGAAACTAGCACTGCCGTGGGTAACATCGCGCACGCTTCCCGACAAGCCGAACAGAATACAAGGGGGTTTTATTTCCCCTCCCGCGATTAAAGCGTTTCACAACGACGCGTAGCGCTCGTATAAAGCGAGTGTAAAAAAAAATCACAATTAAACAAAAAACCACGGCATACAATAGAGCGATTGAAACCGAAGAAACTTGAAAAGCGCGGCCTTTACCCGGGACATGGGGGGGGGGGGGGCAGCGGCGGCGCCTCGCGGGCTGCGAGTGGCGGGGGGCGAACTTCACCCCCGGCACGCCGAGAGATCGCGACACAGCGAGCTACCGATGAGGACGACGCGAACAACAGCAGCAGCAGTAACAACAACAACAACAGCAGCGAGAAGAGAGTTAAATACAAAAAAATAAACAAATAAACCCCCAGCGCGTGCGCGCGCCACACGTAACGCGCGCTCCCATTGGCCGAGGCGCCTCGTCACGTGCCGTTTGTGGCCAATCCGCGGGCGCGTAACAAAACGGAGGCGCGCTTTGTGTTTTAAGTTTTAATTTTATTTTTAGTTTCACGGGTCGGATTTGGGCGATCGTGGACGGGAGGAGTTTAAATGTACACCGTGGCTTAATTCTTTTAATCGTTCTCGCGTCGTGTGTCTGCAGACCGGAAATGGTGCACTGTACAATGCACTGTAGTACAGTGCAGGGTGCTGTCATGTGCGCGTACAGTGCTGCTGAGATTCTCTCCATTCACTTGAAACGTCACGGGCCGTTTTGTCTCAGTGCCACGTTAAAGACCCTGTAGCTACTAAGTGCCACATTAAAGACCCTGTAGCTACTAAGTGCCACATTTAAGATCCTGTAGCTTGATAGACGCTTGTTTATTATCGCATTGTTCAGCTGCTGCGGTGATTGGCATGATCCTTGACCGCCCTCGTCATATGAATGTGGAATTTCCACTGCGGGCTCTTATATTTGAATCGTGGAGACTCGTTGACTGTCACGACGCTTCGAGGAAATTTGCTGTAATGACGCTTCATTCATCACAGCATCGGTCACTTGTTAAACGCTCAAGTATAGTTTAAAAGGTTTGCCAGATGTATAGGTACCCCACCAAAATGATACATTCTCGAGAAAACGTTTTATTTGTTAGCCTCTGCACGTCTCCAACCAATCTCTACAGTTTCTGAATTATCTTAACACTTTTTGATACACTTTGTACAACATAGCCTCTCCTGAATTTCGATTGAAAGCTTTCGTGACTGCAGGGATTCATCTTCTTGGTTCTTTCGGTAAAGTCACGTAGAATGGAAATAAAATAAAAATAAAACAAAATAAAATTCTCACGACGTTTCGGCCACAAGCTGCCCAGACAGCTGTCTTCACCTGAGGACGGTTGCTTCTGTTGTGGCCGAAACGTCGTGATAATTTTATTTAATGTTTTATTTGTATTATTTTATTATTTCCCTTCTACGTGACTTTACCGAAAGAACCAAGAAGATAAGATAGCCTGTCCTGTTCTTGCGAATAGCAATATGTTCAGGAGCTCAATGACTAATAGCTTTGATCACTATACAGGATTCAAGGATTTATTTGTTGAGAAGTCTATAAATGGATGGCTCTTTACGAGTTCTGCATATGCAGTAGTGATTTGTTCTCGTTTTAATGATTAATCCGAAAACCAGGCTTGAATAAGAAATGTTGGATGATGCAATAAAAAAATCGTATCCAAAAACAAGACGTCGCAGAAAATAACAATTACTGTGTTTTGGCAACGTAATTTTTTTTTCTTGAATTGATTATTATCGTAATAATCGTGGTTTGGAGGATATCTTCATCCAGCAGTGGATTGACAATGACTGACGAAGATGCTCAGATAATATTTGCACATTCTTAAAGGGAGAACGCTGCTGATGGCGACCACAATGGACATCTGTGAAAGAGCTTCATTGCCCATCGTATTACTCCAGTCGACATAAAGATTATAAGATTAACAAATTATCTCGTAACTAGCTTTTTTGCCTATCCAAGGACGGGTGTATATTGCAGTAAATCTGAAGCATTCGATAGAAAAATTGTTCAGCTCATGATTATTAATGAGGGGGAGGGGTTGCCCCATGTGGCGCGACAGTGCATAATAAAGTATTTAGTTCAGCTCGACCTTCTGCGTTAGTGTAAAAAGCCACCCACTCATGAATATTAATGAGGGGGGTGGGCTTCATGTGGAGTGACGTCACGCGGGGGGTGAGCCCCATGTGGAGTGACGTCACCCGCTAATGGTTATTGGGAAGGGGTGCGGCATGTGGAGTGACGTCACCCGCTCATGATTATTAATGAGGGGAGGGTGCGGAATGTAGAGTGCGCGACATTTGTGCGTTAGTGTAAATTTCCACGCGCGTATGAATATTAATGAGGGGGGTGGGGCTTATGACGAGTGACGTCACGCGCGGGACGGACAGACATTTCTGCGTGATTATCGTAGATAATATTGATACATTGACAGAGGTGGTGCACAAGCAGAAAGAGCAAAACACTCAACACATTTGTCAATAACACTGTGCTATTAACAAGGACATTTAATAGGCGACGTTCTATGCGATTGCCCTTCTTCATAGCACGTAAATGTGGAGGCTAGGGAGATAGAGTGGATTAGAGATGGGGACTGCACTTTACAGCGTAAGATTGACAAAAGGGCTGTTACATAGCCGCGTGCGAGGCATCTGATTGGCTATTGCAGCCTCATCAGAATCAATAAGGATGGTTTCATCCAGCGGTGGAACTATAAATTCAATTGTTTCGCCGGGATTATCCTTTGAGGTGGGACATCTCGTTCGCAAGCGTGTCCATGGTGTCAAATTACGCACAGAAAATACGTAATGACACGTGTAAAAAAACTAAATCAACAACTTATTGTGTTTATATATAATGCAATCTCTCTGGAATATCTCTCTGCTATGAAGGATCATTGCCCGAAACGTCGCTTGTTGCTTTCCTTTTGGGGCCGTATTATTTTTAATATGCTGAGATGAGCTCACGTGCATGTGCACATGAGCTATATGATCGCATACCTGTCAACCCCTTATCAGTGCCTACCTTATTACAGACCAATTCAGACCTTATTGGTCACCCCGTGCCATCACAAGGGAGTAAACACGGACAATGTTTGTGTTGTGTGCCCGTATTGAAACGTCTGTGGGCCGTATGGACCTGCAAACTCAATTTTCCTGCACAAGAATACGGAGTAAACCGTACGGGTTGACAGCTGTGTGATTGTCTACTGCAGCCTCATTCACTAATTGAACCAATGGAGGTCTCATCCAGCAGTGGAGTAGTGACAGTGGCGGTCTCATCCAGCAGTGGATTGGGGTCTCATCCAGCAGTGGAGTAGTGACAGTGGCGGTCTCATCCAGCAGTGGATTGGGGTCTCATCCAGCAGTGGAGTAGTGACAGTGGCGGTCTCATCCAGCAGTGGATTGGGGTCTCATCCAGCAGTGGAGTAGTGACAAGTGGAAGTCTCATCCAGCAGTGGAGTGACGCACGTGGCACGTGTGAGGAATCCGATTGGCTGCCGCTGTATCACCAGCTGATTGAGTCAATGCGGTTTTACATTTCACAGAGCGCACTAACCCCCGGCGTAACCCAATTGGCCGCCGCACCTCACGTGAACCAATCAGACGTCGTATCGCCCTGAGCGCGCGAGAGGGTAGGGGGGGGGGGTGCGCTGCGAATACGATCTACAATTTCCAATCGCGCGTCGTAATAATATTGCTACTATTGATAAGAGCCCCGAGGGGGCCAACGCTTAAGATTCCTTAGCACGCATAGGCAGCACGTGCCTCGTGCCACCGCGAGAAGCTAATGTCTCTGTGGGCCTTATCTGGCAAAATAAAAAAAATTGTAATTTTAATTTGTCTATATTTTTTTAAGTGATTTGTTTAGCCTTTCCTATACTTTGCACTTCCATCGTGTTTTTGTATCGTTTGTTGTTATGAAGTTCTGACCCCGTGCCCCTACTGGTCATCTGTGTGGATGGGGGGGAGAAACAAAGAGCTTTATAGCTCACCGGATTCCGATTCTGACCGCGACCAATGAGGGGGGGGTTGAGGGTGGTTGTTGTGGTGGGTGGGGGCCGGTGAGCGGTCACGTGCACCGCGCGGGATCCAATCAGAGTGCGCGCCGGGCGGGGCGACGCGAGGCTATATAAGGCGCGGGCTGCGGCGTCACGCGGCGCAGTCGCGCGGCGGAAGGAGGCTGGAGGTGGATGAGAGGGGTCCGCCCGAGGCGTGGGCCGCCCATAAACAACAACAACAACAACAAAACAGCCACCACACCGACACGCACTCAAATCACAGCGGTAGACATTTGACGAGCAAAACACAACCCGTCGCGGGCTTGTTATTTTTGTTGTTGTAACGCTAAGTGCGATTTAGCATAAAACACGGGTAACATTGACTCGGGCGGCGGTGGCTGGGTGGGTGTCGTCGCCACAGCTGTCAGAGAGAGCAAAAAAAATCGCCGTTCGTGGTTCAATAAAAAAAATATTAAAGGGCGGGGGACCGGCCAGACGACCCGGCGCCCTGGAGTGGGCGGGCGAGCAGCGCAGAGCCCTCGCATTTATTCATTAACAACGCCGCCCCACAATCACACACAATCACAGCAGCAGCAGCAGCACAACTCACCCGGCTAATTAACGACGCGAAATCAACAACGAGCCCCGCCAGCCCAACCCGGCGAGCGAGTCGCCATGGAGCTGGACGATGGCGTGCTGTACCAGGACGACTGCAACGTGTCCGTCATGTCGGAGCGGGTGTCGGGCCTCGCCAGCAGCATCTACACGGAGTTCGAGCGCATGATCCGGCGCTACGACGAGGACGTGGTGAAGGATCTGATGCCGCTGGTGGTGAACGTGCTGGAGAACCTGGACGCGGTGTTCACCGAGAACCAGGAGCACGAGATCGAGCTGGAGCTGCTCAAGGAGGACAACGAGCAGCTGATCACGCAGTACGAGCGCGAGAAGGCGCTGCGCAAGCAGACGGAGGAGGTGGGTGGTGGGGTGAGAGGGCGAGTAGGGGCGAGCAGAGCGAGTGGTTGATGAGGCTGGGTGTGAGCGTGTGACTGGGGGGGTGAGTGAGGACGAGGTGATGGAGAGGTTTTGTGGGTGAGTGACTGAGCAGATTGGTGGGTGGGTGAGTGGATGAGAGGATGCGTGAGTGTGTGACTTGATTGTGGATGGGTGAGCGTGGATGGGTGAGTGTGAGGCTGAATGGATTAGTGTGTGAATGTGGGGGGCGAGTGAGGAGGAGGTGATGGAGAGGTTTAGTGGATGGGTGAGCGAGTGAGTTGGTGGTTGAGTTGACAGATGGGTGGGTGAGTGGATGGGTGGGGTGGGTGAGTGGATGGGTGGGGTGGGTGAGAGGATGCGTGTGTGTGACTTGAGGATGGATCTGTGAGGGTGGATGGATTTGAGTGAGGGCGAGTGAGTATGTGATTAAGAGGTTTCGTAGATGGTTGAGCGAGTGAGTTGACAGATGGGTGGGTGTGTGTGCTAGCGAATTCATGTGCGGGAGAGTGAGTGCTTGAATTGGTGAATGGCAAGTGGGGTGGGTGAGCAGATAGGTGGGTAGGTGAGTGAGCAGATAGGTGGGTGAGTGAGTGAGCGGATGAGTAATTGAGTGAGTTATTGATTGGGTGAATAGATGAGTGGGTTTGTGGATGGGTGGACTAGTCAGCAGGTTGGTGAGTCTGGGTGTACGAGTCCGTGTGTAGATTTGTCCATCACAGGCGCTAAACGTTGTTTTCTCTCTTGGGTGTCCCCTGCAGCGGTAGCGAGGTTTGATGGCATTGACGCCACGGGGACCCGTTATGACCTTTGCGTTCAATTAGATCGGCATGCACATCGCGGGGAAGCCTTCGTCCAGCAGTGGATAGGCAATGCACAATGAGCGGCAGAGCCGAGTGTCACGTGTGCGTCAGGGTTGACTGAGCCCTATCATCATCATCCCTCTGGGGTTGGTAAAATGAGCACCACCTGCTGAGGCTGGACCTCTTGATGGCAGGTCACCAGTGGGGCTGTCTGTCCTCTGCACCGACTCCCCCCCCCACCCTGCCAGAGCAATGACGAATCTCCCAACATTGGCTAAAGGCAGCGAATAGAAACGAGCACAGACCCATTCATTGCTCGTTCGGGAGTGAGGAACGTGCATATTTGACATTGAATATGCGTATTTTGACGTTACGTGGTACGCAGTACACACTGCAGATAATGTATTGTAGCTAATGGACTTTAATTGGATGCGTTTTAAAATGTTCTGGTTTGCACAAATGCGTTAATCGGCACCCAGAAAATTACATGAGATCATCATGAACCACGGTAAATCCACTGTTGGATGAAGACATCCCCCTAAGCCACCGCCACATGCCAAGAGTGCAGTACATTGCATACACATTGAATGGCTGTATAACGTGGCCACTTGCAATACTATAGAAATTAAATAGGCGTGTTGGGATGAAAACTAAGGTCATTGCAGAATACGAGCAATTTGTATTTTAGCAGCAGGAGAGCGACCCTCCAGTTTTGCAGACAAGGATGGACATTGAAAGCAGAAGAAGTGATTTTGGAAGCAGAGAGATCGAGAGAAAGAGAGATATTGGTCAGTGTCAACACGCTTGAAATGCGTTTATCCAGCGAAGGCCGTGGGTGATTCAGCAAAAGCAAACACAAATGCCTTCGCAGCATCAGGCAGCGCCAGTCCACCGCTCGTGGGCGTTGTACAATGCAATATCACGGTGGTGGCTGCTCTCATTTGTCAATGCATCCGTTTTACAATCCGGACTGCACAAGGCTTCAATTCTCGTGGAATCATTTTCCTGGACCCCCTCCAACTGCTTTGACCCCCGCGGCCGCCACGCCGACAGCAAGGGGTGTGGGTAGGGGGTGGACGGGGAAATGTTTTCTGGCGCTCAGCCCCAGACAGCTTCTGGCTGAAATGAAACCCAGGCATCCTGCGGCGGCGGGCGAGGTGTGGCCCTGATGATGGCCCTGCTCGCTCGCAAGCATTTCACTTCTCGCAGTCATTTCACTAAAATCCATTCTCTGCCAAATTAGCTCTATTGCCTTGAGTAATGCCACAGGCAGGGGCGGGGTGGGGGGCAGCAGTTCCTGCAAGTATAGGTCTGTGCGTCTCGCTCGTATTCGTCGCAATGCAAATCGCGGCATGTTTGCAAGTGCCGGTGTGTGCGCCGCCATGTGCCACACATGTGCCACACATGTTACACAATGTTGCGTGGTTGTGCCCGAGATGGATTGTGCGTGCCATGCCAACTGCAAGGATCTGGTTGAGCACCGCAGTCGAGTCGTGGCCATGCCTGTCCGGTTGCCTTGGTTTGGCCGCCGCTGCGTTCAGCCCGAACATTGTTATTCTGTGCAGCTTCTGGGCGGATTATTCACGTCCCAGGATCGTGAGAGGTGGCAATGAAATTTAGGCCTTAATCCGGCAGTGGATTGACCACAGCTGATGATGAATGATGATGAAGGCTATCAGATGATATTCATGCGGCGCTACTGAATTTGTGCGTCCTATTAATATAATGAAGCACAGACCATTGCTGCAACATTGGCTGTAGAAAGCCTCAAGAAAGATGAATCCCCCTTGGTGGCGTCGTAGCCTCCGATTAGCACGGTTGGCTACGTATGGTGCGAAAGAAGTTCAACATACGTAGATATGAACGGTGAGCCGGTGTCCAAATTTCACTTGCCGAACAACACTGCCCGAGCAATCGCGTTGTCGGCGCTCAAGCGCACGAGTACAGTCGGTGGGGCGAGCCACAGTTCATGGCCATTTCCCAGGCCTGTGAAACACTAGCTAAGGTGCTTACAGGATGTGGATCCCTATTTTATTTGTAATGCCTTAGGATTATGATGCTTACATCTGTTGATGTTTGGTTTGCCTTGACACCGGTGTTAATGCAGATTCGTAATGCAGTTACAGAACCTCTTGCCGGATTCCCAGAAAGGGCTGACCACGTTTACCGTGCTCGGGTCTTAGCGATGGCACAGCGGCTCCACGCGCTACAATCGAAATGCTGCGACCCGAGTTGGAGGCACGGCGGTGGCTAACATAAGCGGCAAGTGACATCTGAACCGGTCCTGGGCCATTTCCTTCACCAACCCACACTGACCAGCGTGGTGAAGGATGGTCACATAAACCCCCATAACCGACGCGTTGTGGGTATGTGTTCATCCAGCATTGGATTGATAGAGAACTGCAAAGCGAAGGTCCAATGCTTATGGAATGCATCGCATGTTTTATAGAAATGCATTGCTATATCTGTATTTTGGGCAAGGTTATAGACTTGTCACGTTGTATCTCTTGCCAAGTTGTGCGATGTTTAGCCAGAATGATGAGTGACCCAAAGGCTCTCATTGCTTTGATCATTCTGCGATGGAAATGTGATCAAATGTTAACATCAGTTCGTCCTGGTCATCTAAGTTTAAGTTGGGAAAAAAAACATTTTTTTGTGCATGTAGGCATGCTTTGACATAAGGGAGTGGTAGTGCAGTAGTTAGCGCACTGCGTTTAGATTTGAATTCCCACTCAAGACCAATAACAGTGGCAAATATTTGAACCGATTCTAACTTTGACTCTGCCTTAGTTGTGCACTGGAGATACAAAGGAGGCCTGGCGTGTTGTTTGCCACCCACCGACCTCGTGTGCCATGCCCACATTTCATAGGCGCTTGCTAGCAGCTCTTGCCCCAACAGTCTTTTAAAGGCTATGTTTGACGTAGGAGGATCATTTTGGATTTTAACAGAAGGATGGCAGCCTCTGTAACAATTATTTGGGGTTTTTAAATAAAATTGAGAACATTGTTTGGCATGCCTATGTTCAAAATGTCGTTCATTTGGAGAACATTAACAATGCTGCACAGAGACAACGAGATTGCCCAGTCGTAACAATACCGGTGTCGGGTGTCTGTCACGTGGGCACGGCCCGTCAATATTTTATTTTGTTTCCCTTTGAACTCGCTCTGCTGTTTTGCTGATTTCTGTTTAATCTGTCGGGTTTTTAACTTGGCAGGTAAAATGTAACGACATTCAAAGAGCAGATCTATCCTTTTTATATCTCTCCTCTTGCAGCAGGCACGGGTCCTCGTTATATTATCCCTTTTGTAGGACGGACTCTGATGACGAGTTGAAAATCGGGCGGTTTTTAAATTGCCGCATGCCGCTTTTAAAGTTGCAGTCAAGGAATGGAACGCGTCTTGGGATCTGAAGCAGTGCGGTCAGCTCGTGTGCACGTGCCTGCAGTGTGGGCCGCAGGAAGTGGCAGTGGCTTGGGAGGGGAGGCCATCATCCAGCAGTGGATTGACCACAGCTGATGATGACACCCATTTGGGTTTGGTATTTTGTTTCGTCTGCCCATTATAGAATTCTTCAATCGCAAATCATATTTTTTAAGTAACACATTTTCCTGCATCACTTTGGCATTCCATGTAGTCTATCATTTGTATGCCTTCTTGAGTTTATATTTGTTGTCATACCTACGATATTAAACATGCCTTTAGAGTATTTGGCTGCTGTACATTTCCACGTGATAAGCCACTTCGCTGAGCTATCATTTGTAGCCAGATCGCTTCTAAAAGAGAGCTACATAGCTTAGTGGGCCTTACCTGCTAAAATAAAAATCGGTCAATAGTAAGAGTATAAACGGGTTCTCAGATGTGCTTTTGGGTTGTGCTGCATTTTGTTGAGCGTGATGGTCCCGGAAGCGCCAAGTAGCTCCCAGCGATTCGTCGTCGGTCATCGAGGCGAGCAACACGCGCGAGAACAGAACGGAGAGGCGTACGGCGGCAACCGCGAGCCAAGGACAAAAAAACCCGACTCGGTGGTATTCAACGTATTTCTTTGTAATTTTGCAAGTGGTAGTATTTAACGTTCTCTTGTCATTTTCTCAGCGGTTTCCGAAGTGAACTGGAAACCTTTTGGCCAAGCGTTACAGATGAGGCAGTAGTAATGTAAGGTGATAGGCGATACAGAGAGAG